TTGCAATATTTTAGAGGAAAGCAATATGATTTTCTGTTTCCAGCCTCCAGGACCTTCAGTATAAACTACTGTCAAAAGCCCTTCCTAAAGACTAATAAAAATGTCTTAATACATCAGGCGAGCTTTGCAAAGTGGAGGTGACAAGCAAAGTGGTTGTAGGCAAGGCAACTAAAGAGTAAATTGCTCTGCTACATGACATTCACTGTTTAATTCTTAAATAACAAGAGTTGCCTGCTGAGCTAGGTTTGATGACCTGCTCTTGTGCTTTTAAATATATATATATATATATGTTTTTTACTCTGCTGTTGTGCCTGTAACAGCAACACTGCTGATCTCCATGCCATAACAGCATTCCTCTGCTGATAGCATTTTGCACTAGCTGCTCCTTCCAGATCAAGCTCAAGGGCAGCCCCACATACAGTGCATTGCAGTAATCAAGTCTTGAGGTTTCTAAGACAGAGTATTTCCCCCTACAGCTTCCCTGACATAAACTTTTCCTTGACGAGAAACATAGATCTGTTTTCTGCTACTTTAATTATCATAGTTTCCCAAAAAGGATCTGGGCGGGGGGGGGGTGAGGACATAGGACAGTTGGGGAAAACACTGGAGTCTGACCAATTCTCAGCTAGGAGCTCAGAAAAGGGGATTGATAATTGGGGTGAGAGCTTGGCTCCTCAACTATGCACAAAAACTCTGTGTGAAGGAATGTTTGGTAAATGGGATGAGGTTTGGGGGGGGGCTGGTGGAACCCTAGATTAAATCTGGTTTTGGCTTCAGTATGTTGGTCTTTTGGTATATGTACCTAGGGGATTGTTGAGATTAGTACAGTGGTACCTCATGTTACAGACGCTTCAGGTTACAGATGCTTCAGGTTACAGACTCCACTAACCCAAAAATAGTATCTCGGGTTAAGAACTTTGCTTCAGGATGAGAACAGAAATCACGCAGCGGCGGCAGCGGGAGGCCACATTAGCTAAAGTGATGCTTCAGGTTAAGAACAGTTTCAGGTTATGAACGGACCTCCAGAACGAATGAAGTTCTTAACCAGAGGTACCACTGTAATTGTATGTGAGTGTGGGTATGAACCAAATTGGATCTGAATTGGGAAAAAGAACTCAACAAGCCCTACCTGTGTTTTAAGGCACAAAAACAACCGACCAGCGAAGACGGTGGCAAGCTTGATGCAAACTGCAAGTACATGAGCAATACCTGTAAGCATGGAAATTTAGATTATTATTTGTATACAGTGGTACCTCGGGTTAAGAACTTAATTCATTCCGGAGGTCCGTTCTTATCCTGAAGTTGTTCTTAACCTGAGGTACCACTTTAGCTAATGGGGCCTCCTGCTGCCACCGCTCCACCACCGCGCGATTTCTGTTCTCATCCTGAAGCAAAGTTCTAAACCCAAGGTACTATTTCTGGGTTAGCGGAGTCTGTAACCTGAAGCGTCTGTAACCTGAGGTACCACTGTATATGTATGTGTGTCAGAACTAGTGCCAACACCGTTATGTCCCTGTCATGGGAGCCTGTATTGGGGCAAACCAAGACCCAGGGTGAGCAAAAGTAAATTTAGTTGCAGTGATACCAAGGAGACAGCAATGAGCTTTGGGTCCCTGCTCTCTTGACCGAAGGGTTCCCAAGTAACTAGAGCTATTTCTTTAAATAGAAGTCATCACTCCACTATAACATCGTATCTGCGCTGCACAGAAATAAAAGCCAACTCTTTTTTCCTTTGACAAAGGCATCAGTGCCCAGCGCAGATCGCCTGCCTACCCATTTCCTGCTCAGTATGTTAGGGAAGAATGATACACCCACCTGGGGGCTGTGTCTGCAGTAAATGGCATAGAGCTCAGCAAGGAAATGTAGCCCTCACGGTAGAGGAGCGGAGAGGGCTTGATGCAGTGCCTAATAGGTACCCATTGTTGAAGTCGTCCCCCCCCCCCCCAGTTACACAAAATTATGGTAAACAAGCACATGGAGCTGTGTGTGAAATGACAGAACAGCCTTTATGATTTAGAAGTTTTTGGCACTCCAAAGAAAAGTGCATCCAGGTCTGCCTACATTAAGCAGATTGAAAGCGCAATCCTATAAACCAGAACTTGCTACCATGACGACAGGGATGCCACTGAAAGCAGGAGGCCTGGCAAAACCATTAGGTAAAGAAAGGAGGCTGCCATGGGCAGCTGATCTGGGCTGTTATGAAAGGGCAGCAAATTACCCATTATTTTTATTTTTATTGGACTTTTAGCACCAAGGAAGCTGAGAGCCACTTGGTGAATTATCTGCCTCAAGTGCCAATATAACTTGACTGGCCTTGGGGATTCTGGACCTTGACCTGCGCAGAAGTAGGATCATTTTTTTGTTCTGCATCAGGCAGAGAAATTGACACTTACAGAGAACCAGTTTACTGGGCATTCACTCTGTTTTGTTTATGGTGAGGTTAGACGTTGTGTCAAACAAGTGTTATTCCATACTTTCCAGGACATTTCTCCATTACTTTCCTTACTGCAAAAAACCAGTCTTGGGGGGAAAGCCCATTTGTTGTGCAGGAACTCCAAATCAATTCTACTTGCATGAACTGACTTTATCACTGAATCACACCTGACAATCTGCAAGTGCTCTGTGTCTCAGGCAAGCCCTGGAAAGTAGCATCCCAGTTGCACCTTCTCAACAATCTGTAAAGAATGCAGCTTCTCTCATTTTAAAAATGTCAAAATAGAAAGAGATCCCTCTTGGATCAGACCAAAGGCATGTTTGATCCAGCATCCCTTTTTCCAGCTATGGTCAACCACCTATCACTGAGAAGACCACAAGCAGGAGACAAGGGTGAAACTGACAGCTGCTGAAGACCCTAAGGTCCCAAAATTCATGTGTCAATAAATTGATAGGTCAGCAACAAGTACATTTGGACTTGGGGGTCACTACACCAAAAAGTTTGGGAGCTGTTGCACTACAGGACCAAACAGGAAGTGCTTCCAAAGCTGAGGCTTCATCCTATGTACACACAGAAGATATAAAGTACACTCACCACCCATGTCTGAAACCAGTAGTTTCCCATAGGTGACAGAGGTCTGACAAGCGTGTGGAACTCCCCTCTGTAAAAGCTTTCCCTTGATGTCGTGAGTATTTGTTATTGCAGAATGGAAAGGGGAAGGGGGCCGTTTCAAGAGTGAACAGTCATTCTAGCTGCCAGTGGTTTTAATGTGAGCAACAAATGCAGATTAATATACATTAAACCCAGTAGTTAGATTGCTGCTTATGAAAATAGTCTATATATTTCCCCTAAGAGCTTGTTCATATTTTACAGTGGAAAAACCAAGTAATTTCTCCAGGACTATATTTTTAGCTTACTGGGTGGGTGTAGTGCTGGAAGACTATTGGAATATTTTGGTGTAGGCTCTGTGGGTCCTTACTTACATGTACATGTTCACAGTCTAATAGTCCCAAGGCTCTGATGGAATCTGGCTAAACCAGAGGAGGGGAACAGTCCTTAGATCTTCCCGGGGGCCACATCCCATTGGTGCGTGGGCCCAAAGGCAAAAGAGGCAGAGCAAATATCACCTTTGTACAGCACTGCTTCTCCTCCATCCAGACAAGCAAGAGGCATTATTCGGGTTCAAAGACACATTCCAGCCAGGCAGAAACACACTCAGAGGAAGTGAAATGGGACCAGCTGGTATGGCTGCATAGCAGGAGTGGCCTGGGAGTGAGTACCAAGAGCTGCATAGATAGAGAGACCTTGAGGGCCCATTTGGCCCATAGGCTGAGACCCCTCACCCCTGGGCTGAAGTAGTGCATTTTCAGAGAAGACCTTTCAAAGGTCACAGCCTTTAGGACATCTATTGGGCTTTTAGAACTCCTGTGTATGTTGGATTCCTCCCTCCACATTTTATCCTCAACAATCCTGTGAGGTAGGTTAGACACATTTGATTTCCTTGAGAAATTGCTTTGTATTTGCAATTAGTCTTGAGGAAGGCCTAGGTGTTCCCTCCTCATGCAGCTGCCAATGCCGGGAGCCTGGAATTTGCTTTTGTTTTTACAGTACAGTGGTACCTCAGGTTACATACGCTTCAGGTTACAGACTCCACTAACCCAGAAATAGTGCTTCAGGTTAAGAACTTTGCTTCAGGATGAGAACAGAAATCGTGCTCTGGCAGCACGGCAGCAGCAGGAGGCCCCATTAGCTAAAGTGGTGCTTCAGGTTAAGAACAGTTTCAGGTTAAGTACGGACCTCCGGAACGAATTAAGTACTTAACCTGAGGTACCACTGTATTATGTCTTTTCTTTTCTTTTTTTGCATTGTGATTTTTTGTGCTGTGAACCGCCCTGAGTAAAGAGCGATGTGCAAATTTAATAATAGCACATCTTTTATTTGCTTGTTTTGAAAAGCAAATACCGTATTTTTTGCTCTATAAGACTCACTTTTTCCCTCCTAAAAAGTAAGGGGAAATGTGTGTGCGTCTTATGGAGCGAATGCGGGCTGTGCAGCCATCACAGAAGCCAGAACAGCAAGAAGGATTGCTGCTTTCACTGCGCAGCGATCCCTCTTGCTGTTCTGGCTTCTGAGATTCAGAATAATTTTTTCTTGTTTTCCTCCTCCAAAAACTAGGTGCGTCTTGTGGTCTGGTGCGTCTTATAGAGCGAAAAATACGGGTATGCTTTGCTCCTACCAGCAAGGATAGTCCCCATGCAACAAGATTTCTTCCTCATCTATTATATTATAAGTATATTATATTATAATTATATTATTATAATACAATAGCTACCGGGGTATTGCTATCAGAATGATAGATCTAGGAGGGAAGCTGCTGTCATCATTTCTCAGTAATTAACATTTCTGTATAAGCCCTCAGAGAAACACTGCTCGGCTCAGAGACCTCTGCTCACAAAGGGAGAGCACAGCTATTATTCGGTGAGTGATGGCAGGCCTGCACTTGCACTGAGATTTGCTAAATTAATAACCCCTCAATTAAATAATGAAGAATCTGAACAACAGAGCTGATGCTGCATCTTTTTTTTTTTTTAATTTTGCTGCTCCAAAGCAATTGCAGAGCTAGTAACAGGAGGAAAAGAGTGATATATTTAAAAAGAAAACTAGGCAAACGACAGCTGCTAGACTAAGAGGAAATAGCGACCTGCAAAGAGAGGAAGTTCATAGAGGCCAAGCTCGCAATAACTCTTAATAAAATACAATACAGAAAATAGGATCTGAGAGTCTCCAAAATACAATATCTTAAGGGATTGGCAATAATACAAAATAAGGTTCATTATGTACAAACAATTTCTGCTTTTGGTCTCTGTACAACCATGTGAACTTGAGGCACGCATGGACTATGCCCAGGAGCATGTCTAACTATGGAACAGTGGTTCTTTATGCTGGTTTTTGAAGAATGTTTTTCTTTTTCTCTTATCTGAACATTTAACTGTAATATGTCTCTGCCTTTGAATTCTCTACATTTTTTTTAATGTAACTATGTAAAAATAAGTCACAAAATAGAAATTAAGCTTTTTCTGACACAGAGACAGACACAGCTGGGGAAAATTTATATAGTACAGATTTGTGTGCCTAGAAGTTGGGAACTTTTGGTGACATATTGCAGAGAGAGGAAAGAACATAACCAGTGGTGGCCATGGTGATTGTGAGTGGGGGTAAATTAGAGGGCTGACTGAGGCTTCTGTCCAAGTTGCCAGACGCTATCCCTGATTGTGGGGAATGCAATTTTGACACTGGGAATCAAGTGTATAAGAGGCGGAACTCAGGGCCAATTTGGAGATGTCTAAATGGAACATCCTCTCCCATGTGCTGTGCAATCCTATGCATGTTTATGCAGAAGGAAGTCCAATGGACCTTCTCCCCTAGTAAGTGTGTTTAGGGTTGCAACCCACGCCCCTTACAGTGTAATCCAGCACATGCTTACTCAGGAGTTAGTCCCACCAGGTTCAATGGGACATACTCCCAGGTAAGCATGCATGGAATTGCAGCCTTAACCAGGCATCTACTAAAGGATCCTACATCCAGACGGAAGAGGCCTTGAGGGTTGGCAGCTGCTACAAGTATTCAGCTGCATCACTGGAGATTCTGTCTCTGCAGAAAGAAAGAAAAAAAGTACCGGTCAGTCATTTTTTCACCTGCTATTTATTTCTCAACTCTGGCCTCTGATAACTGCTCTGTTGCTGCCTCCTCCTCATTACAATCATCATCAACAACAACATTTTATATATTTCTATCCCACTTTCCCCCCAGAACTGGGACTCAAAACAAGCACAGATAAAACACAAAATCCTTTGTTCTATTTTTCAGGTTGGCTGGTGAGGTTCCTCGGAAGATTCTCCTATTTCCTTATTTTTCACTGTCAGTTGAGTGGGGTGGGGTTCTCTTTGCCTGGACCAAGTTTCCCCAAACTTGGGTCTCCAGCTGCTTTTGGACTACAGTCCCCATCATTCCTGGTAGCTTGTAGTTCAAAAACAGCTTGAGACCCAAGTTTGGAAAACCCTGGAACATAGCTCAGAGTTAAGAGCTTATGCTGTGCACGCAAGAGGTCTCAGGGAAGGATCAGAAACTTTAGGTTGATGGTTGCAAACAGAGAAGAAAAAACACAGCCTGCCCTTGTGACTCTTGAAGACTGCGATCAGCAGTCACGTCATGGCATGGAAATAAACACCATGAGTGGCTGACGCCTGCAGATCTGTTAAAAGCACAGGAGTAGTGGTTAGTGGTTTGCTTTAAAGTTGGGAACCCTGCTTAGACCCCACGTTGCACTTCGGAGATGGAATATAGCTGGTATGAGCTGGAAAGAGACGAAAGCCCCACATCTGCTTACCTCTCCTGGAATTGCTTCTTGGGGTTAGTGAGAGCTGAGCTGGTCTGGTTCTGATCTGGCCCCTCCTGGTGGGGTTTGTGTAGGTATTTGGCTGTTTCGTGGGCCACAGCCAGGGGGCTGTGCACATGCTCCTGAGGTCGCTGTTCTTCGCTTTGGCGTTGGTCAGCTTCCCACTTGTCAGGATGCTCCACAGAGATGAAGGAGCTGTAGCCTTCCTCGAGGGAGCCCCCATGCTCATCGTAGAACAGAAGGCGCCGTGACTGAACTGAAAAGGGAGAGATTTGTTAAGGGCTGAGAACAGGAACTTCATGAGGCTGTTCCCAGCTCACTCCCATGTGCCAAGCCATGTAGATAAAGCCAGTCACAGAATAAAGAGACATTTTGGCCATCACACACAAACTTATTGCAAGGCTTTGCATTCTCTCCCCTTCTTGTTCTCAACAGCTACACAGCAAACAGAAATCTAGCAGGTGAGGCATTCACCTGCTGCATCTCCATAGGAGTAAAAGCTGCACTGCCTGTCATGCAGTTCTTTGAGGCTAAAAACCAGGCCAGAAAAAAGTGGCAACTGTAAGAAAACTTGGTTGTCGGATACCTGCCCAATATTATTCACTAGAGTGAATTCAGTGGGTGTGTTTTCATAGGAGACCCATATAGTTCCACTTTCAGGTCCCATAATTTCAGGACAAAGAAACAAAAACACTTCTTCCTAAAATCCAGCTGTGGGAGCCAACATTTATTTTTCATAAAATGGTGTCATGTGATCATAATACATCCCAAAACTATGTGAAAATGTTTTCTGACCACTAGCGGAACCCTTTTGACACCAGAGTTGGGGCCAAGTCTGCATATTGCAGGCCAAGTCTGCATATTGCAAAACAACACCCTTATGGTAACAACTTCTTCACACTGTGGTCATGATGTGCAGTGTTACTTCCATGTGGATGTTGTATGTAGAATATACCAGGCCAATACCAGAGATTCTTGGTGGCTGCTACAGAGTGAAGTTGCCACACAGAAGCTGTGATTTATAGGCTGCTGCTTTGTTTGGGCCAAGAACGTGCAGTGAAAGGCAGCATCTTTGAACATGACATCTGTACCTTTAAGGAGCAAATAAAGTCCTTCCTCTGCACCGCCCCATGCCTGTATTTAAACAGAGCTGAGCCTGATCAGTGTTTGAATGGGAAGCCTACATATGTTGTTCCAGCTTTTTAAGGGATAGTTGGGATACAAAAGCAATAAGGAAAAAGCACTACTAAAACTGCCACTGAGGCTATAAAACAGACTATCCCAACTGCTTGAGGGCTTTAAAACAGGCCATCTGTTCTGAGAGAGAGACAGAGAGAGAGAGAGAGAGAGAGAGAGAGAGCTATTCTTCCTCCCTTCAAGGCTTTCAGCTGGTCTGGCTACCCAAGGGCCAATATACACATTGCAGCTGCCTCCCTACTGAGTGTTGGCTGAGCCATAAACAAACAACTTTGGTCTGGTTGTGGCCTCCATGCTGCCAGGCTTTAAAGCAGACCATCCTGCCTATGGCCGTATACAACAAAAGGGTACCAGCTGTTAGGAAGTTATTGGAGATTTTAAATCCCCCCCATTTCAAAATGCTAGCTCAACTGAGATGAGGAAGCACTTAGACCTAGTGCTCATGAACAGCAGATAGGTTGGTAAGCCAGTGTCTGGACTGTAGCATTTCAGACTGTAGGAACGGAATAAATAATTCTTATGTACTTATTTAATATTTCCCCCCATCCTTTCCCAATGAGCTAAGAGCAGCATACAAGATTCCCTGGCACCAGTAGGGAATCACAACAACCTTCTGTGATAGATTAGGCCGAGAAATATTGATACTGTCAGGTTTATGGCTGACTGTGCTACATGAGGGACTTTAAGCAGGCAAAATATGTGCTCCCTTTTCCATGACATCTAATTTTCCACAAAGAGGAAATTTGTATGAAGGAGAAAGCTAGTGTGGTCAGGGAGTGACAAAGGAAGCTGCCTTATGTGAGGGCTCAATGGACAATGAGACTGACCGGTGTTTCTCCTTGGCAAGCTACCTCTCTATTTACAGGACTTTTAAAAAATGGAGAAGCATTCCATAATATCAATCCCCCTCTGTTATGTACTGAGTTGAATAGGATCCAAACTGCAGCAGTCTGATTGGTCCTAGAACAATAGGATCCAAAACGCAGCAGTCTGATTGGTCCTAGAACAATAGGATTCAGAATGCAGCTGTCTGATTGGTCCTAGAACAATGCAGCAGTATGATTGGTTGGCAGGAACCACCCAATCATTCTCCAGATAGAAGCGAATCCACAACCTGATTGGCTTACAGTAGAATTCGGAATTAGCCAATCATGTGCAGCCCATTGTGTAAATAATGTATATAAAGCAGATACTTTGAGGGGACATTCATTCATTCCTCCTCACCACTATGAGCTGAATAAAGAGCATGAAATCACTTTGCAACTCTGAGTATATTTCACCCTCCCAAGTACACTTATTGTACAATCTAAAGTGGTACAGCCCACAGGCTTATGTGGGAACCAGGCCCTTGTTTCCAGCTTGTCTTGCCGTGTGTGTTAAGGAGACTCATTAGCCCAAAGAAGGATTTTAGATCAGAGGGCTGAGTTGGAGTGACAGATATAGGCCCCATTTGCACTTTAAAGCAGTATCATACCACTTTAAACCATCATAGCTTCCCCCAAAGAATCCTGGGAAATGTAGTTTGTTAAGGGTGCAGAGGGTTATCAGGAGACCCCCTATTCCCCTCCAGAGCTACAATTCTCAGAGTGGTTTAACAAGCAATGTCTCTTCCCAGAGACCTCTGGGGGTTGCAGCTTTGTGAGTAGGCGTCTCCTAATAACTCTCAGCACAATTTTAAAGGCGGGCTGAGAGTGAACAAATGAACTGGAAGATCACATGTTTATTTGAATTTGGGTTTTATCTTCCAAGGTCAGGGAGACTTCCTGGCTAATTGGTTTACTTCCCATGGTGGGAGGAACAGGAAAAGAAGCATCTATGAGGAAGGGAAGGAGAATGAATCCTTTAAAAGTCAAATGAGGCTTTACTGTACAGCTAGGCCACAGGACCATGTAAAGAATAAACTGGAGCAAGCAGCTCTGGAGGAAACGTCACTCAGGAAACAAGAGCAATGCATCACTCTAATCTGTGTTTCCCAAACTTGAGCCATCAGCTGGTTTTGGACTACAACTCCCATCATCCGTGGCTAGCAAGACCAGTGGTCAGGAATGATAGGAATTGTAGTCCAAAAACAGTGGGAGACCCAAGCTTGGGAAACACTGCTCTGTTCAAATGATACACTCTTGTGAATAAAACAAACCACAGGGACAAGACTGGCTGTGTACACACCATACATTTAAAGCTCGTCTCCACCAAAAAAATCCTGGGAGCAGTAGTTTGCCTTTCACAAGCCTATAATTCCCAGCATCCTTAAACTACAGTTCCCAGGATTCCTTGGAAGAAGTCATGTGCTTTAAATGAATGGTACATATGCAGCCTTGGCTAGAGCTACCATTAAGACAGAAGGATAATCTGCACCATTTGAGGAAATGGCTGGCTGGATTCAGCAGTGACTTGGGTTAGTTCTGGCTCTTCAAGAGGGCTTTAGTAACAATTAGATCACATGTGACTCACTTTTACTGGTTGTGTATATGTCTGATGTTGGAGCTGTTTTTACTGTCTGCGATGCTGAAGAGAATTCTGGGAGACACGGCATTAGGGAACCCAGAACCAGAACAAAGCACAAAACGAGGACCTGTGGAGCAGATATGGCAGAAATAGTCAGTGCAGTCAACAAACAGGGTGTGGATATGTACATGAGTTCACACAGGTCAACTGAGGAGAAAAGAAGGAAATCATAAACTATTACAGTACTGTGAAAATCAACAGAATTCAGTTATTAAGCACATATTTACTTTAGTATTTAGTTTAGATGTGTGTACAGTGGTACCTTGGTTTGCATATGTCTTGGTTTGCATACGTTTTGGATTACAAACACGTCAAACCCGGAAGTGCGTGTGCCGGTTTGCAACCTTATTTTGGATTACAACCCATTTTGGGGGGATTACGACTAATTTTTTTTGGGAGGCCCCATTGGCGAAAGCGCGCCTTGGGTTACAACCTGTTTTGGTTTACAAACGGACCTCCAGAACGGATTATGGTTGTAAACCAGGGTACCACTGTACTTATTCCATTAAAATCCCAAATGCCATTATGATACTTGCAAGCAAACCAAACCACCTGACATCTGAATGTAAGTATTACATTCAGGTTTTAAAACAAATTATTTACACCATTTCTGTTCTGCCTTTCCTCCAATGAGCTCTGGGCTGCATACATGACCCTCCCACCCCCGGTTATTCTCACAACAACCCTGTGAGGTAGAATTGGCAGAGAAAAAGTAATTGGTCCAATGTGAGCTTAGTGGCTGAGTGGGAATTGAAACTGGATGTCCCTGGTCCTAGGCAGACACTTTAACCACATTTAGAAGAAAAGTAGGAGAAACAAAATTCAGAGACCACTAAACTAAAACATGTCATTCTTGCCCATAGAAGGCTGACACCTCCCTGTCCCCCCGGCAGGACTTGTGATTTGTCTCACTCCAAACAAAACATGAACTGTAACAAATGTTTCTTCTTGGATTACCACTCTTGGGTTTGTCTGGGGGAGACAAACTACAAATCTGGCCTAAACACTGTCCAAGTCGAAGACCACCTGGGGGAAAAATGAGATATATGTACATAACGAAGAAATAAAGCTTAAGTAACCAAAGAATGGATAGCATGCAGACCTTACCATCAAGCAGGTCCCTGTCTGTGTGGAAGCCATTTTATATGGCCTAGAAACTTTCCCTGCTACCAGAGCTTGCAGCTTTTGTAGTTGCTGGAGGAGAGTCCTATGAGAGAGCAATTTTTTACATTTAAAAGAAACTGTTTAAAAATAATCAGAGAAAGAAAGAAACAGAAAGAAATCCAAAGACATTACAAATTCAGAAACTTAATTATTATTTATTGTTATTATTTATTGACTTTATATACCGCCCTATACCTGGAGGTCTCAGGGTGGTTCACCCTGAGCTTAATACTTTCAATGTTCTTTTTTCCAGAAATACTACTGTATATCATAGTTGACAATGTTTCCCTTTTTTAAAAAGGGAAATTCCCTTACTCCGAATAGGATTTCCCTTAAAAAAGGGGGAAAGTTGACAGCTATGCTGTATATTCACAATGTAAGATATGAAATGTAAAAATCAATTAAATGTTCTGCTGAAGATGTAAGCATGTCAGAAGAATACTTATATGAACGAGTCATGCAAATAAGATGCTCCTTTAGCTAATGCTACCTATTTACAGACCCTTTCAACATTAAACATGGAGACTATCTTACAAACTGCTCTACCATGGTAGGGTTTGCACATTTGCCTATTTTTGTTAAACCCCAAAAATGTTGATATCCTTTGGGATTAATGCCTGAAAACTTCATTTGTCCATAGGTATAGTGCTGGGGTTGTTTATTTTTCCAGTAGCTGCTATCTTTTAAAAGAACAGCGTGAACAGTTTGGGGTGGTGACATAATTACTGCTGCACATAGTGAACCATGGATTCAGACTAGAGCTGGATTAGAGTACGTAGACCTGGGAACCATTTCAGAATAACTGCTTTGATGCACATAAACAGGAGAGGAAGGAAGAGTGAGACGGGTGGGGGAGATCTATTATTCCAAATACAACCAACAATAAACGGAACTCCAGAATTCATAGGAGAAAGGGTTCATAAACTGAACACAAGGGTTCATAAATTGCCCAGCAGATGGCAGTCACCAACCACCAACATAGCTAGCTACTTTAGCTACTGAGAAGCCGAGAATATGCTCAACACTTCCAGGGTCTCTAGGGAGCAGCATCAAGCCACAAAGGTAGGGTCAGAAGCTGCTGTTAGGCAATCAAAGGAAATGAGTGTGACAAAGAGTCTCTGAATGAGGGCAGGGAGCTCAAGTGCAAGGTCAAGTGTGCTGGCAAGATTAAGTGAGGGGATAGGTCCTGGATAACAGGGTCACTGATGATAGTTTCCCCCATTTGGTTGAAGTCTTGCAGATTACAGAAAGCTCTGTGCCTGATGGAAAGAGCCTGGAAAGGCAGCATCTAAGGCTGATTACAAAGGACATTAAGCAAACCATTCTGGGAAGCTCCTCTAGAGATGCTTTATTCCTGCACTATTCATACATATGCTGCTCACAAAGGAATGCCTTAATTCTGCCCACAGATGAAACTTGGGTGCATTTCAGAGGGCACATAAGCCCATACTGTTTGTGACTAACGGGAATGCTGTAAAGAGAAGACCAGATCATGTTTCTGCATTGCTCACCTAGACCAGGAGTAGCCAATGTGGTTCCCTTTGGATGTTGTGGATCACAACTCCCATCATTCCTGACTGTCAGCTATGCTGGAGATGATGGGAGCTGTTATCCAGAATATCTCGATGGCACCACATTGTCTTCCCCTGACAGAAAGTTAATCCTCTATAAAGAAAAATCTGTACTCCTGGGTCCTTCTTCCTTCTCAGTACCTCTTGGTGTGGATAATACATTTGTAAAGCTGCAAAAGCTATTCGTGTGACCCTGGCCTGTGGGCATGCGTGGAGAAAAAGAGTGAAAGTAGAGCACAGTAGCCTAGTTTAGGATGTGAAGGTGTTGCCCCCAAACCTGCTGTCTTTTGCATATGTTTTATGTGCTGTGACTTCGTTTTGTTTTGGCCCTTCATGGGAGGCTAGGCAAAACTCCCGGTCCCTCCTGTTGTCTTCTCCCATTGCTACATGAAGCGGATATTTTGTCTTCTCCATAAGCATCAAAGGAAACAAATTCCTTGGACAGAGATTCTGCCAGACGGGAATAAAGGGGCCTCAAGGATTCTTCAGGCAGAAGCCCAGCTCACGGCAAGAGGCGATATCTGCTTCTTTGTTATGGCAAGTGTGATGCCTTGGAGGGGGTGGCACCACACCAAAACCTAAACCAGAACCGTACAGAGACAACTCTCCCCCAGATTATGAACAGAGGGGGAAACGCACAAGCTGGTGTCAGTCTGCTGGACTAAGGAGCTATCACATCCACACCACATATTTTAAGTGCATGACTTCCGCCAAAGAATCCCAGGAACTGTACTTTCCCCCTCTCAGACCTACAGTTCCCAGGATTCTTAAGAGGAAGCCATGTGCTTTACACGCAGATGTGGCCTTTGGGGGCAGCAGTTTAGCATTCTGTTCCCAGCCTATTTGTTGCTAACAGGCCTGCCATAAGCACTCCCTTAAAACTGCTCTATGTAGCTGCTAGACTCTTTTCTAAGCTTTCATGTCTTTAGGTAACACTCTCTGCACCTCAAAGAACATAGAAGAGAGTTTCATTTAATGTAACCAAAGGCCAGGGCCTCAACCACTCAGTCAGCATAGAAGGCCTGGGGAAAAAGTAGAACTCCACACAGTTCCCTGTTCCTTCAGGCATCTTGATTGGCTCTGAGCTCACCTGGTTGTGTTTTTTGCCTCCCTCCCCCGCCCCCCGCCCTCCGTAAAACCCTTTCAAGAGATCAGGTTCTAATCTGGACATTTGGCTGGTGAACCTCAGGGACTGAGCCAGGACTGACTTCCTTGCTCCCTTCAACTCAGCCCCATTGAACCCTCGTCCTGGTCGCTGACTCTTGTTCACCATGGCCTGTTCCTCACCCTTGACTATACATAATGCTTCCCGGGATAATGATTCCGGCTTATACCTACCTGACCTTGGCAAGCACTCTCCCTAGAAACCAATCTACGATTAATTTCACTTCAGCTGTCAGCCAGTTGGTCCCAAGGCCAGGCAGGCTACTGAGAGAGAGGCAGGAAATGGTCCACTCAGAGGTGCCCCCATCTGCACCTCCATTTGTCAAAAGTTCCTTCCTGGCTGTCATAACACAAACATTCCTCATTTGCTAACCAAAACCAGCTGACTATCTGCTGCTGCTGCTGCTGGAAAAATGAAAAAGTTATACTTCGGGGTAAGCCAAAGTCTGCCAAGAAATCTCTTCTCTTTTTATTCCCAGCCTTCCCCTGACCTCCCTTTGCTTGGCACCATGCTTCAGTCAAAGATCAAATGTGGGTTCTCCTCACCTGTTTGCATTTTCTAAGGTCTCTACTTTTTTCCACAGTTCATTGTTCTCAGATGTATAACTTTCAACCCTGGAGAAGTAAAAACAAGCCCCATATTAAAAATAAAGCAATCCATCAGCCTGATCCACACCCACCTCCAAAATCTCATCCTTAAGAGCCAACCTAGATGCAGCAATGAATTGCTGTTAACATTCACAGTTTTGTGATGTAAATAACAGCAGCAAGCAAGCTTCAGAAGTCCCTAAACTGTTAAAGGAGGGGGGAACTTTAACTCCTTCTGTCCCTATAATGGTCCTGACAAAATAGCTTCTCTGACATCGCAATCCTACACGTGCCTACTCATAAGTAAAACCCCATTAGGTTAAATAGGATTTACTTTCAGGTGCATATAGCCCTGCTGCTGCTATTTGCATTTCAAGAGAAGATGCACTGGTGTCACTCTGGAGATCCTTGAAATGCAAATAACATATTTGGAAACGCAATTTTATCAAGACTGTGGCAGAGAGAGAGAGAGAGAGAGAGAGAGAGAGAGAGAGTTAACCTTCCTTTCCCACTCCAGTCCCAAGGCTGCTCAGAATTTCCCTTAGATGCTGTTTGCATAACAAGAAACACTTTTTTTTAACTCTTGGGGGGAACTGATTTTCTAGATCCATTTCAAATGGCGTTTTAGGCCTGGTTTTGGTACAGAAACTACTTGGGTTGCCCTGTGTGATTACTTCTGTTGGGAGAGAGATGAGAAACATGTCCCTGTTAATTCTCCTTGACTTCTCAGCAGCTCTTGATACTATCAATCATGGTATCCTTCTGGAGTGGCTGTCAGGGTTTGGGTTTGGGTTTAGGTTTGGGGTGGGCAGCACTGCTTTGCAGTGGTTCCAGTCCTACTTGAATGGTCATTTCCAGAGGGTGATGCTTGGGGAGTGCTATTTGGCCCCATGGAGCCTTCACTGTGGGGTTACTCAGGGTTGGATTTCATCTCCTATGCTATTTAATATCTACATGAAACCACTGAGTGGGGTCATCCAGAATTTTGGAGTACGTTGTCAGCAATATGCTGATGGCACACAGCTCTGCTTCTCCTTTACATTTGCAGGGGTGGCAGTGGATGTGCTGAACCATTGTCTTGCGTTGGTTATGGACTGGATGAGAGCCAATCCAGATAAGACTTAGGCATTATTAGTGGATGGTTCCCTAGAAAAGGTGAATGGAAGGTGGTCTGCTGTTGATAAAATTTCACTCCCTCTGAAGGTACATAGCTTTGGAGTTCTTCTGAGTCCACTGCTGTTGCTTGAGGCTCAGGTGGCCTCAGTGACATGTAATACCTTCCATCAGCTTCAACTGGTGGCTCAGCTGCACCCATATCTGAGCAGGGATAGCCTAACATCTGTCTATGCTCTGGTAACCCAGATTACTGCAATGCATTATACTTGGGGCTGTCTCTGAAGACAGTTCCAAAACTTCAGCTAGTGCAGAATTCAGTTGCCAGGTTGCTCACCAGGGCAAGACAGTTTGAGCATATTGAGTTTCCATATTTTGAAGAGCAAAAAAAGAGGACACATTTGCCAACTTCTACTTCTAACTATGAATCACTTTGACAACTCTCATTTTACAAATGCATGAAAAAGAGGGTGTGTCCTGGAAAAAGAGGACATATGGCAACCCTTAAACCAATCCTGCAGCTGTAAACACAGAAATCAGGGCTGAATAAGCCCTGTTTGTAGGAAGTATAATTTTATATTTTCTTATTCAGATTCATATGCCACCCTTCAACTGGGGGTGGGGGATCCAAGGCCGTTCACAACAAAACAAACAAAATGCAATAAGAAACAACCATTAATGGTAATATCAAGGTGTACAGTATTCCTGCTGTTTTTACATGGTGCCCCCTGTGCAGAACATGTTGCAAGAAACTATTGTTATCTCCCATATAGCATTTTTCTATGTACAAAGTTCTTTACAATTCTAATTGCATTTACCTTCACTATGGAACTGAGAAGTAGGTTAGGCTAAGTAGATGGTGACTGACCCAAAGTCATCCAGTAAGCTTCATGGATGCTTATTGTAACAAAAGCTACTGCCGCATTCACTGATCCATGCTTCTTCCTCCCACTCCCTTTTTCAAGGATGAGGATCAGTGAGATGGTGGTACCAGGCTATCCACGAAGAATAGCACATTTGTTATTGAATTCAAGGACACAGATTCAAGGACATCTCGCCCAGCAGCAAATTCCTTTCATGGGAACAGGAACTAAGGAATTTGTGCTATAACAACTCTGGTTTCTCCTTCCATCTTTATTAAGCTATTTGCAGTGCTTCGGAAAGCACACCAAAAGCTCAAGTGGTTTTGAACAGGCTGGTGGAGAACAATCTTTCTCCCTTGACACTCGAGTTTCATTTACATAATTGTTACATGGTGAAACGTTCGATTTAAGTGATATTGTTAAGCACATATCGTTTCATGCATTTATTTATTAGATGTGCATCTTACTCTCTGGGTAGCAGGTGGACTTCTTGAATCATTACATTCAAGACTTTGTCAACAGCACGACTCTTTCCTAAAGCAGGGACGCATTAGGGAAGAGACTTAAGAGAATGTGCCACTTCTGCAAGAGGGTCACGATGCTCCAGTAATTCTCATGATGCTGCCAAGTACAAAAGAAACTACTGATCTTACAAATCCAGAGTTAATGTAGCATGGAAGCTCAGAGAGAAGAACATACTTTTTCTCTAGACACTCCACATATTCTTTCTTCTTCCTGCGACTCTCCTGTGCAGAAATCTAAGGAATGAGGAATACCAACGTTAGAAATGCTAATGTAACCTCCTGAAGAACAATTCCCATATAGTAACTCTCCAATGTGGCACCTTCTGGGTGTTTTGGACTACAACTCCCATCAGCCCCAGCCAGCATGACCAATGGTCAAAGATGATGGGAGGTCCAAAACAGCTAATATAATAATTATAATAATAATAATTTATTATTTATAACCTGCCCATCTGGCTGGGTTTCCCCAGCCACTCTGGGTGGCTTCCAATCGAATAGTAAAAACATCAAACATTGAAAACTTCCAATAATAATAATAATTTATCTAGGAAGTACGTGGGTAGAGAAGGCTGTTCTAAGGGGTCAAAGTCAAACTAAATGTGATGTGATCAGCATCACCCACATTTCGGGGTTGTTTTTTTTTTAGAATTTAAAAGCAGCCATGGAGAAGCCCAATTTGGATCAGGGTCACAGCACTTGGGAGAGTTAACCCTTTCTACCCCACATCAAGGCCCTGTTCCCTTTTCTGGACAAAACCATCAATGGTTACCTTGTGTGTGATATAAATTTGTGGAATGGCATGGGAGTAAAGAGTTAAAGACCCCCCTCCCAGCATCACAGCCCCAATCTCACATAAGAACCCTGCTGCTCTTTTAAATTAAAAATTGTGTGTGTTTGTGCGCGTGCACGCACGCACACGCACACACACACACACAGAAGATAACCTGTAAATAGATTTTCTGTGTCATATCTAGTCTGGCCCTGAGGCAGGCCTCCTGTCACTACATAACTCCCCAGAGCACTTTCACATGTTCTTGCGCCAGCTGAAATGGAAACTGCATGTGAGCTGGACCTCTGCTTTCTGTGCTCCTTCTATGTCACTTGCCCACTGTGGTCATGGGGAGATGCACACGACAACAATTAATTTATTAATTTATATCCCGATTGCCTATTTTCATAATCATAATCAGAAGGTCTTCCAAGAAAAGATGCATTAAAAAGTATGGTGTGCTCTTAAGGTTTCCTACTCTGTCCAGTTGATCAGCCCTAATTTGGCTGCTGTGTCACAATCTGGGAAGGCCCGTAGGCTAGAGGTAGAGTACACACACTTTGCCTGCATAAGGTTCCAGATTCAATCCCCTGTAATAAATAAAATCCTCTGCTTGAGACCCTGGATGGTTGTCCCTAGCAGAACACAGAGCTGGGTGGACTAATGATTTGGTGGTGTATGCAAAGGATCTTCATGTGTTTGCATGGCTAAGCTCATGCTTTGCACACCAAAGTTCCCAGACTCAGTTCCTGAAATTTCCAGTTGAAAAATTATGCCTCTATCAGGGCTGGAGATCTCCTGACAGCCAGAGTAAGCATTACTGGGCTAAATGGAGCAATACACTGACTCAGTGGAGGGCAACTTCATATATGATCTATTAAACTGAACTGACAACCCACATTAATGTTACTGAACTTGAACCATTCTCCTTGTGCTATTTACTTTAATAGGACTGGCGCCCTGTCCCTAAACATTTGCTCTAAGATACCTTGCCTGGGACGCCATGATACAGTGTTTTTTGAGGTCACCCTATCCTGTTCTAAACACTTACATGTTGCTGAATCAAATGTTATGATCAGAATGCAAACCAACTTATAAGCAAGGGCTATGACAACTTCTTTGTGGATCAGAATTTCCCAAAGTGGCTGAATCACTTGGGCCAAGTGGGATGTATTTTTGTCTGAGTCACAACAGGTGACTAATGCATACTGTGGGCTCGTAATATGGGAACTTACATTGAGTGGGGATCCACAGTTAGTATTTCATATCACTCCACAGACATTTGCTTGCTCATTCACCTGGGTGAGAAAGAACTCTTTCTGGGCAATTAGCTGATAAGACTGACGACTCAAGAGGCCCATTATGCTACAAAGTTACAAGGGAATGGGTAGTATGCTGCAAGCAGTTTTGATGGAATGGTGCATTTATACTGATCTTCAAAGCTTTTTAAATATATTAATGAAGGAATGTGGGGGGGAGGGGGGAAAGAAGGGATGTCTACTTTTCCAAATTCTCCAGCTAGAAGGCCCACGTGCTGCCATCACGCTAGGCCAAACCGTGGCTCAGTGCAAACACAAGACTCCAGGAGAGGAGGTTCTTTCAGTTATATGGGCCGAGTCTTAGTCATGAAAATCATAATATTGGGACAAGAGGACAAATAAACAATTAAGCATGATGACTCCCAGAGCGCAGATTGCAGTAGCTTTGCTCCTTCCAGCTTCCTTTGCTGCTGTGCCATGCTGAGATAAGTCATTGTTTGCCTTAGCATGTCATGCAAACTCAGGCCCGTGTTTTAGTTCTCACAAAAAAGCACAAACCATAGGACAAACATTAGTTACAGCTGTGGTTAGTTTGGAGAGAGTTAAACCATGAGCCTGGGCTTCAACAACATGCAGGACTACTGGTAAACTATGGCTTAGCTCAGCACGGTACAGCAGCAGAACGACTAGGAAAGAGTGAAAAAGCTGCCATTTCCTTGTTGAAAGTCTGCATGCTCATGCGCTCATGCTAAGCCACGGTTCAGCTTAGTGTGATGTGCGAAACAGGCCCTTGTCTTGACTTACAAAGGGATATATTGTCTCCTGTCCCAATATTATGACGTTCACGATTAAGGCAAAGACCTTGTAATAGAAACAACTGCATCCCAATTCCCAATTTATCTCGGCCTCTATTTCCCTTCCCTTTATCTGCTCTCACCCTTGTGTCAATTTTTAGATTGTAAGCTCAGCAGGGCAGGGCCCTGTCCCCCTGAGCAAGAATGAACAACTAAATAAATCATCCTTCTCATCAAAAACTGCGATGTTGAAAATGCCCTTGATGGTTATTTTTAAAAAAAACTTCTTCAAGTTCTAGATCTAAAAAGCTTATGGCAGCATTCAAAGCCCTATCACTACACAGATTTAATTTTAGCCGGAGAACCTCAGATGAGGCAGCAAGTTAAAGAAGGATGATCACATTAATCAAACACACACACACACACACACTCCTGATTTTTCCCAATTCAGTGGAATTATTGACCTTGTTCTTGATCTTTCGTCTAACTCTTTTCAGTGCTTTCTCCTCTGCTTTGGTGAGAGGCAGCTTGGTTGGGATGGGATAGCCCTCAGCAATCAGGGTACGTTTCTCCTCCTCGGTTAGGAGCAGGGGTCCCGAGGTCCCTTGTAATTTCTGTAAGTGAAAAGGAAAAGCAGCAACATTTTCAGAATTCATATCAACAATCCCATCCCTAACTTTCCCCTGCAAAAAGAAGGACCTTGCCCCAAAAGTCACTATTGTACCGCTTGAAATTTGGGGTTGATATACTGCTTTTTTGCGCGGGGAGCAGCATTCCTCATTACCACAACCCAAGAGGCCTAACTATAAGTTACATTAATGGCTTTGCATCGTGACTCCAACTCTCCAGGCAATCTGAGAACTGTAAAATCTAAGGCAACAAAAAAATCCCCCATGCGTGTGGCAGAGGTCAGTGTAAATGCCTCCTGCTTGTCTCCTAGCACAGAGCTGGGTCATGGAGCCTGAGCTTCCACAGACGCTGCCTGCCATGAACCAGGATTGGCAGGATAGGCAGCAACTGTGCCAGATATGTTCTATGTTTATGACAATAGTTTACTCTCTTGCTAACTATGCTGTTTTAAATGTGCATTTTATATTTGACTTCCTTTAGTAACGTTTTCTTTAGAAATGTTTTAGATATTTAAAAAAAAAAATTTACTGCGTTAAATGTGCATTCTATACTTTACCTCCATTGTAATGTTTTATTCTGAAATCTTTAAGGTAAGATTTTAGTTTCCTGTCAATTATGTTGCTTTGAATGTATACTTTATGTTTAACTTTTTTCTGTTTTGTTTTATTCTGTTATGTTTTATTTGATGTTTTAATGTTTAATATTGTAAACCACTTTGCGATTTCCCCCCTTAAAGATATAAAGCGATATAGAAGTGAAATGAATATGAATAATAAGTAAGTGCCTTAAAATAGCTCCTTTGCCAGTAGTTATGGATTATTTCAGCATCATGCTGATGGATGAATCTTAAGTCCAGCTTACCCCATTTCTACATTAGTTTGCAATTAAAAAAAACATTTTGCACAAAAAATCATACAATTTTTTTGTGTGCTTTTAAATGTACTTTTGTCTACTACAGTCATACCTCGTGTTGTGTTGGGTTCATGTTGCGTCTTTTCGGCTTGCGAACGCAGCAAACCCGGAAGTGTATACCTCTGGGTTTTGCCACACGTGCGCGCGCAGAAGCGGTCTGTGTGCTTCATAAATGAGCAGAAGCACTCTATTGTGCTGCGTGTGTACGCAGAAGCGGCACTCTAGTTATGGACTTTTCGGGGTGCAAATGGCACCCCGGAATGGATCGAGTCCGTAACTAGAGGTACCACTGTATATGCATTTCTGCAAGCAAATTTTCTTGATTTTTTGCACAATATTTTAACTACTATGCACAATTTTTAAAATGCATATTTTGTTGGGAGAACTCCCATTACAAAATTCTGAGGAGTGTGAATTTCGAAGGGCAGCCGCATTTCTGTTTGTGCGTTGGTTCAGAAAGTGCAAATTAGGAAAGTTCACACTTAAAATGCAAATCATTTTATTTTCTCCTCCATCCTTGTTACAATCCTGACCCGTCACACATTCCCGTTGTGCACCTTATTAGGGGGTCACTGCCAAAAGCCACCCTGAACCTTGTGCTCCAAGCCGGGAGATGCCTTATGATTCATGACAGGAGCTCCCTGCTTACATGTGGTGCTGTGAGGAGAGGAGAAGAAGAGATTGCTGTGGAGGAGCGTGCAGTAGGGCGGACTGGGCTGGAGGGAGGGAGGGATCTTGGGCTCTGAGATCCGTCACTGTCACTGCCATGGCTGCTGGGAGGAGTCGGTGGCATCTGCACCAGGTCATCTAATGCAGGAGATAGAAAGCAGAGGTTAACAGACAGTAACAGCCCACTGAGTCATGGACAGCGAAGGAGAGAAAGTATTTGATGGGAGAAGAGTGGGAACAAAGGAGTGTTTTCGGGTGACATTGAGACATAGAACTGTTCTGGGAACAACAAGGCAGTAAGAAAGAGACAATGCATATTAGGAGAATCATAGAATTATAGGCCTGAAAGAGACTGCGAGGGTCATCTAGTTTAACCCCCTGCAATGCAGGAATCTTTTGCCCAACGTAGGGATTGAACCCATGACCCTAAAAAAACAAGGAAGATTACATGAAGACACCACCACTAAAATATTTCACTGAACACAGATTTTTAAATAAAGCAGGAATAAATTAAGCTAGGAGGACTACATTAAACATTAAAATACCGTAATACATCAAACATTAAAAGCTTCCCTAAACAGGGTTGCCTTCAGATGTCTTCTAAAAGTCTGGTAGTTGTTGTTCTCTTTGACATCTGGTGGGAGGGCGTTCCAAAGGGCGGGTGCCACTACCAAGAAGGCCCTCTGCCTGATTCCCTGTAACTTGGTGTATTAACGGTATATTACGGCTCATGAGAGGTTTGAGCTAAATAGTGGGCTGGATATTTTATTATCTCCTATGCAATAGGTCCCAGGTTCAGTTCCTGGCATCACCAGCTGAAAGGTGCTCCCATACAAAGACAGACTTCCAGCAAGATCTTGGAGAGCTGCTGCCAGTCAAGTAAACATAAATGGTATAGATGGCTCAATGCCATGACTTAATATAATATGGTGGCCTTCATATGAATATTTGGTGTTGCGCACATCAAGGTCCTAAATGAGAAATAATTATTTGAGATATGTTGCCTTTTGATATAATATGCAGCTTGGCTCATTTGCTTGATTCATCTGCAGCAAATTGTTCTGTGCACACCACTATGCACAGGGCATGTTGTGATCTGTATTGTATGGTGCAATTTGACAAGGGGCTGATAGATTAATATTCCTATCTTTGTGCAGTGGTTTGGACTTGTTTTCATGTGGTACTGTGAGCTCTATGACTCTATCAATGCAAGCAAACTTTGATTATCTTGAGACAGCAGTAAATCTTTGGTCTGGGGTGCAAGCTTGAGCCACTTGGACTAAGCACCAAAATAACTGGATTCTTGATGATGATTTGTTGTGATTGCCATTCATTCATACTGTTCCATCAGTGATGCACAAATCAATTCACCAAATTCCGTAAGATGGATATCTGAATTCAAACCCAGATAAAGGGGGAAATGAATCAAGGAAAGGAATGGAGGGGGTGGGGGAAAACCACTCTTTGTTCTGTAATGTTTGGGGATGTAGAGCATACAGATGGCTTTCCAGCTCCTCTGAGTAATTGGTTCCACTGCAGAACTGCTCCATTTTGCTGCTCTTAGCCTCGCTTGCCAGCCTCAGCTATTTAGCTTTCCTGACGCCGTCTTTACAAATCTGAGCTGCTCATCCTTGGTGGCCTGTTCCTCTTCCCATTGCTTATGCATGTCCTTTTTTATTTTCATCTCTGCAGTAAGCTTTTTGTGCTGTCGCAGTGTCTTTTTAAGATGCCTCCCACTGGAATAATTTGTAGCCTTATCAACTCCATCTTTAGGAACTCCCACCCATCCTGGCATCCTTTCCCCCCTGGTATCTCTAGTCATAAATTCTTACCCATTAAAGCCTATTGCAACCAGTTTTTCTGAAGCCCAAGGTGAACACGCTCATCTTTAACTTTACATGAGATCATGAATTCCATTGTGTGACAGTCACTCCCCACCCCCCATTCTTTTGGACAAGTTATATTCTTCAATTGCTCCTTTCCTATCATGAGAGTTGTCCCAACAAGAAGTCTCCTGGAACATACTCCCCTTGTACCTTCCGCCAGAACCTGGATTTGTCAGATGCTGCCTCTCCTCCTTATTTAATGGACTGCTGATGGAAGATGCTGAGCTTGCTAAAAGTCACATTTCAAAAGACGCCTGTTTTGCGAGGGTAAATAATGAGCTGAGCATTTAAGAGGGCCTAATATTTAGTGTGAAGCATTGCTTGCTTACTTGAATATGAATGCTTAGTGCCTAGGGGGAGGATATTACATTTTAGAGCAAATAAATAAATGTGCTCATTTGTTCTGAGCAGACCCCTCTGTGGTGTGCTAATGACTGCCAAGCTGCATTCTTGATGTCATTACCCTTCTGGAAACAAAACTGAGATCCTTTACAGTGATACCAGACGCATGAGAACTGGCACCATACGCTAATATCCTTCTAATGGCTTGCCACTAAATGTCCTATACAAAATGAAACAAAAAACCCTCAAAATGTCTGATTGTAAGACAAGCCCTGCTGGTTCAGACCAAAGGCCCCTCTGTTCCGGCATTCCGCTTCTCAGAGTGTTCAACCAGATGCCTATGGGAAGCCCAGAAGCAGGGCTGCTGTTCAGAGGCATAGCGACTCTGATCCCAGAGACAGAATACAGAACAGAGCTGGGGAACCTGTAGCCCTCCAGATGTGGTTGGACTCCAGCTCCCACTGACTCCAGTAGCAGTTGGAGTCCAACAACATCTGGAGGGCTAAAGGTCCCCCATCCCCAATATAGAATATAGCTGTCATGATTTAATAACCATTGCTAGCCTTTGCTGCCATGATTTGCCTAATCCTTTTCTAAAGTCATCAAAGCCAACGGTCATCACTACATCTTGTGGTAGCAAATCCCATAATCTATGTATTGTGAAGAAGTATTTCTCTGTTCAGCACCTGTTTAAAACATTTTTGTTTAGGCAAGTTTATTTAGACATGTATTTTAATCTGTTTTTACTTGTTGTTGATTTCAATTATCCTTTGCATGTTTTAAAACACCTGTTTTTAGCTGTCTTCTATTGATAATTTTAATGTGGCTTTGTAAACCACTTAGAGGTGTTATTTCAATTCAGTAGTATATACATTTTGTTTTTTTAAAAATAGTTGTTTTGTTTAGCAAGGGGTTGTATACCCTTTCTCTTGGTGAGCTACTCTCCCCAAACAATAAGCAGCCTGCTGAGAAACAGCATTGGCATCTCGGGGTTTCACAGCCAGCTAAAGGTTTTCCCAAGCTCCAGGCACACTGGCATTTGCATTTCACAGGTACACTGTTTAGTCAGTGCCATGCGACTATGAGAAAGCCCACTGAGAGAGGCATAGCACTGCTAGTTGAAGAAAGTACACACAGACACAAGACTCATGAAATCACTAATACTCAGAGAACTCAAGTACTTGTGCCCTGTTAACAATTGTTTCTTGCAATCTCATTAGGTTAGTTTAGCAGCATCAGCGGATTACAAATGAATCCCACACATCCACAGCTGTCATCACTCATAGTAACCTTTTTGGGCTGGGGGAGGAGAGAGAGATGCTTAAGAAGCTTGTGCTAATGGGTTGGTGGAGGATCCACTCTGCAAAAGATAGTTTTTTAAATTAATGAGGCTGGAGGGCTGATGAAAGCAACTTGTAACTATTTTCTTACCTGTTGGTACATTTAGAAATTGGTTCACCTCTCTGGGTTCAGCTTTGATTATAGGTTGGGGCGTCATTTCTATGGGAGCCTGTATGAAAGAATACAGAATGCAACATTTTGGTTTTGCAAAGGCAATTCTTGCATGACTCTACCCTGCAGATTAAGAGGTTGCTTTACCATGCAATGTAGACTCACAAGGTGCAAAACATCATACTGCAGCCCATCATTTGCTTCTTATCATTTACTCTGGCCTTTGATAGTTAAGGTTTTTTTTATGCAGGACACACCTCTTCTGCTGAATGTATATCATTCTGCTCCATTTGGGGTCAGTTTTACAGGTTTTATAATTGTAATGGTTTTAAACCACAGAGCCTAGGACTTGCCAATCAGAAGGTCGGCAGTTCAAATTCCCACGACAGGGTGAGCTCCCGTTGCTTGGTCCCTGCTTCTGCCAACCTAGCAGTTCGAAAGCATGTCAAAGTGCAAGTAGATAAATAGGTACTGCTCCGGCGGGAAGGTAAACGGCGTTTCCCTGCGCTGCTCTGGTTCGCCAGAAGCAGCTTAGTCATGCTGGCCACATGACCCGGAAGCTGTACGCCAGCTCCCTCGGCCAATAAAGCGAGATGAGCGCTGCAACCCCAGAGTCGGTCACGACTGGACCTAATGGTCAGGGGTCCCTTTACCTTTAATTGTATATTTTATTGTTACCTGTCCTGGGACTTTATGATGAGAGGCAGGTAAGAAACCATAGGAATGAATGAATGAATGAATGAATAGGTGGGTTCATTCTGAGACCATACAGCTCTGCACAGGTATGGTGTGATTTCTGACACCCTTCTGGGTGCAACTGAGGCCTGCACTTCTTTTTCTAATGATGTAATTCTGTGCCACGGGTAGACACAGAGAGCAGCAGATCCTGTGAGTACCACAATGGACAGAAGAAATCCTCAGATGCAGGGACTTGAATTATTAGACACTGTGGCATTCAACCCAGGAACCGTGAAGGTCAGGCATTGATACTCTGCTCCTTGCACCATCTGGGCCTCTGGTCAGAAGAGAAAATGGCAGGCAATTTGAGCTGGGATGCAGCTACCAAGGACCAGAATTCTCCGGAAAAATCATGTGATTCTGAAGGGCCAATCCCACGCTTGCTGTATGTGTCATTTTCCCTCATTCTGCACAGCTTGAAAAGAAGTTAACCCAAAGGCCAGGGTCACCTTTGATTTTGTAGCAGACAGCTATAAAGACTGAAGGCCAGAGCTGGGGAACTTGTGGCCCTCCAGATGTTGCTGAACTATAGTTCGCATTAAGCCTGACCACGCTGGCTGGGACTAATGGGAGGACCCTGCACTAGAGTATCCCTCTGGACTTCCAGGCTGGTTCCTTGCCTGCCTGGTGCCTCCTCTGTTTTGGGCGCTTGCCACCTCTCCAGCCATTAGAGGCCGGACTTTTTCAGCAGTTGCGTATTGTCCATGAAAAGCCTTTTGAGCTATCATTGAGCTATGGAGCCTTCTAAATGCATGGTAAGAGTGCAGAAGGTGCAGGTCAGTTGGTAGCTAACCTGCCCTGAAACAAAACTTATAGTGAATACCAGCATGCCCTGTGACTACAGCCATAATCCTTCTTGCTTTGATGAGAATTATTTCTCAGCCCTCCAGTTCCCCCTTCTTCTCCATCTTATCAGCTTGCATACCAAAAGCCAGCTGCTCAAAGACAAGCAAAAACTTTTTTTAAAAAATAAAGTTGTCTCCAGGGAAGTCACAATTCAAAACAAGAGTGTTTTGCCAAGGGAGAGTGGGCATCATGCAGGTGTGCTGCCAGGGTGCACGGCGCAGGTGGCATTCACTTTGTGGACAGAATCAGATTTGTCATTACCTCCTCTCTTCTCAAGCTGCTTAAAAAAAATCCATTTAAACTTTTCCTCCACATTCTCTCCCTCTCTTTTGATCTGTTGTAATCTGAGCTGGGAGTATTTGCACAGCCTTTGGAGATAGAGAATAGCCTCTACTGTTCTCTGGGCCTTCTGTAGGACCACTCAACAGCTGCTTCTGATCAAATGAGATGAAGAGTTAACAGGAACAGCACTTAGTTCCCAGCTGCACCAATGCAATCCTCCTACCAGCATCCCTTTCCCACCAAAGGCACACACACACACAAAACATTAAACAGACATATTTCACACTGCCTCATACTGTAAACACAGCTCAGGGAGGGAGCTTGGTATGGCTGTCAAATGCACACACGCGCCACATGGATCTGCATTTGCAGGCCCAGGGAGTTCAAGCTGTGTAAACAGAGAAGGAAGTTTGTGTATATGTTTGGCTCGAGTAGCTGGCTTGTTGCATCCAGTTTCCCTTACCCACCATAAGTGAAAGGAAGATAACCCACGCTAGGCTTTGCAACAGATCAGGGCAATCACTCACTTTAGTCCGGACAACAGGAAGAACTGCAGGCCAGGGTTGGGGAGCCTATGGTTTTCCCGATGGTACTGGACTACAGCTCCTATCATTCCTGACAATTGGCCATGTTGGCTGGGACCGATGGGAATTGGAGTCCAACACCATCTATGGAGCTACAGGTGTCTTACCCCTGTTGTAGGTAATGTAAGAAAAACCTAATGCTGCCTCTGACCTTACAAAGCACCCAGCAATGACAGTTACGGTCTAATACTGTAGGTCCTTTGCCAGCCTGAGAGGCAGTTACGTGGTATACTTAGGTAACTTTAAAATCCAGATTTCATGGTTTTAATGGGCAGAGCCCTCTTCAGATGGTGACAACGTGTTAACGCACTGCTTTCAACACGGGGTGTGTTTGGCTGCCCTCTGGCTCGTACTACTGAAAGCAGCCAAGGAATAATTTAAATTTCTATAACGTCCTTCATCGGAGGATCATAGGGCATCATCTGGATGGCAGTTTCCTCCCATGACTGATTTAACGCTGCAGTGCTAAACCTAGAACAAAAGCAGGAAGGTGCCGCTAGGAAAGGGTACCAATTGGTGCAGGAGTTTGACTCTATAGAGTTTTAAATTTTATTTTAGACTGTATTTCGCCACAGGTCACTTTCATGCAGATCCTACTAATTTTGGGCCTTCCATATGAACTAACAGCTATCAGCAAGAGGGTCAGCACTCTTTCCAGACATGCCTTAGGTGTCCTCTGTTCCCTTTCCTCCATTAGTGGCTTATTTCAAATCAGTCATAACAAAAATAAGAAAAAGCTAGATTTTATCTTCCGCCACATAACAGCCCTTTCATTTGGAATGAAGGGCTTGCAGGAAGATAGGTTGCAGCACAACTTGTTATATTGCAGACAACAATGATGCAGCAAACTCACCTCTTCAGGGACTGGCAACCTTTGCAGTGGGTTCAGGTTCAACATGGGTACTGCATTAGCTGGCAGCTGGGTCTCAGGAAGTTCTGGTGCCATGTTCTGCTCCTGTTTCACCAGGATGGAACACAGCTTGTGCTGGAGGGACCACATCCCATTTTCCAGTTCTGAGAAAAAAACCACATCAAGTTGTACCGTAAGCAATGTAAGGGGTGTGTGTGTGTGTGTGTGTGTGTGTGTCTCCAATGCCTTCTAATTAATACACAGGAAATGTTGCAGTAGGCGGGAAACCCCAGTAATCTCAGCAACAAGCTCTGCTGTTTCAGAAGGCAACACTAAAGCCCATCTGCACTACACATTTAAAGCAGTTTCATACTGATATAAGTAAAAAAAACCCTGCTCCTTTCCCCTTATTGGGTAACCAAGAGCCCATATAGAGTCCTTTTGTAGGTTCTGTCAGTAGAAGAAAAAAACAGAGACCAACCAGAGGATATTGAGAAGCAAAGCAGCTAGTAAGTCTGATCTTTATTAACTGTTGCAACAGGGTGCTCCCCCACACGCAGGAGATAGGAGGAGGACCCCGAGCCATGCATGCAAGCCCTTATATAGACATTTTAAATTGCCCACCCTGAAGTCCAAGACCACCCCCAGAAACATCATACATACATCACGGAAGGGGTGTAGCCCATGACCACCCCCCAGATACAGCATACCTACATCAAAGAAAAGGCGGTCTACAACAGAAATCTGAGTGCATTGTTTATCTCCTGTCTGGCAAGTTACCTGATTGCATTATCTGGGTTTTGGCCACTCTTTTGTTATTATAACTACTTAATTCCTGAATCTAGGTCACAGGTCACAGGCTCACATCCTGTTCATATCTCGAATGTGCCCTTAAGACAGGATTTGTGAGGACAGGATTTGTGAGGAAAGAGGCAATTGGGAGGTTTCCCACTTTGACCTTGCAGAGAAATATTTGAGGTCAATTTGTTCAGGACCTTTTCTGTTATGAACATTTATTTTATATATATATGACCTTAAAATTCTTATAACAATACCATTTTAAACAGCCAAAGCACTGTGGGAGTGCTTGTTTAGGGTGCAGAAAATTATTAGGGAACAGCTATTCCCCTCACACAGCTACAATTTCTAGAGTTCCCTGGAAAGAGGGATTGATTGTTAAACCACTCTAGGAACCGTAGCCTCTTACGGATGATGCATGGTATTGTCTGCAAAATGTTATTCCACAATAAATGTGTCTTAAAGACACATTTGGTCTCTGTGTTGCTTTTGCTACAGCTGGTTAAACAGGGCTACTCTTCTGAAATTTGCAGAATTAATGTTTGCAGAATTGTGGTGGCTATAGACTCGCCTAAGCCCATTCTCAATTCAATTTGACACCGCTACTTGGTCAGACGCCAGGTGAAATATTTTATATTTGTGGATCCATTGTTGCTCCCCTTGCAAACAACTTATCAGGCATACCATTGTAGAGTCAGATATCTAGTTTTAGCTGAACACAGTAGAACACTCAACACATCAAGAGCAAAATGTTTTTAAAAGCAAATTCCTCTAGTACTGTTTTTTATTTTTGACAAAACAGCTCAGACCCTTCCTTACCAAGTGCTCTCTTGTAGTCTTCCCAACAGCTGTTATTTGCAGTAAAAAAATTAGTATGCTGCTAATTCCAGGCAGTGATCCATGAAGGCTGATCGCTGAAGAATTGATGCTTTTGAATTATGGTGCTGGAGGAGACTCTTGAGAGTCCCATGAACTGCAAGAAGATCAAACGTATCCATTCTTAAGGAAATCAGCCCTGAGTGCTCACTGGAAGGACAGACCATGAAGCTGAGGCTCCAATACTTTGGCCACCTCATGAGAAGAGAAGACTCACTGGAAAATACCCTGATGTTGGGAAAGATGGAGGGCACAAGGAGAAGGGGCTGACAGAGAACGAGATGGTTGGATAGTGTCTTCGAAGGTACCAGCATGAGTTTGACCAAACTGCGGGAGGCAGTGGAAGACAGAAGTGCCTGGCGTGCTCTGGTCCATGGGGTCACGAAGAGTCGGGCACGACTAAACGACTAAACAACAACAACAATTCCAGGCAGAAAAAAGCACATGAATATTACATACAAACTACATGGAAGATTTTCAGTGCTAGGAAGAAGAATGAAAAGGAAATTGTCTTCCAGAAATAGCTCCTGCTTGAAACCCTGGAAGACCTCTGCCAGTCAGTATAGACCATAATTAGCTGGACCAATGGTCTGGTTTTGTATAAGGCAGCTTCCTATGTTCTTCCTGCAAAGGTCTGCAGGTGCCTCCCATTGCAAACTGCTGGAGGCACTTATCTGCTTCTTGTCTGCTGCATTCATTTATTCAACAGTAACTGCAGCTGCACTGGCTTCTGAAATACGCGTGTTAGTAAAGTGACCACAAAGGTTCCCTTAAGAAATAAAGCAAATACAGTAACAATGCCTAATCTCATGTTTTATCTACAGCAGCAACATGAACACATCCAGCAACATTTACGATTATGGTCGTTCTATTGGGAATGGAAGAGAGGCGACAAACTAGCATTTTGTGTATGGAAAAACAAGAGAAGAACAGTGGTACCTCGGGTTACATACGCTTCAGGTTACAGACTCCGCTAACCCAGAAATAGTGCTTCAGGTTAAGAACTTTGCTTCAGGATGAGAACAGAAATCGTGCTCCGGCAGCGCGGCAGCAGCAGGAGGCCCCATTAGCTAAAATGGTGCTTCAGGTTAAGAACAGTTTCAGGTTAAGTACGGACCTCTGGAATGAATTAAGTACTTAACCTGAGATACCACTGAATTAGCTTAGCTACAGTCTAGGCTTGGTCACAAGTTATCCTGCAATATGTTATTATACTGTTACTTAAACGTTCACTAAATAATAGCAGGCTTGGATCTCGATGGTGTCTTACATATATTAACCATGAGGTTCCAAGAATATATATGTCCTAGGGTAGAGAGTAGAAGACATTTACAGCAGAGAAACGAAGTACTGCACCCACTCTTCCTTCACCATGCTCTGTTCTAAATTCCTCTTCTAAAGTGGTTTTTAATTAAAACAAACAAACTGCATCAGGGCTCAATTAACTTAATGTATTTATTTACAACATATTTTTTTTACCCAGTTTTTCAATTGAAAAGACTGTCAGGGCACTTTACAGATTTTTTGTTTTTAGACAATCCTTGCCCTCAGCCTCACAATCTCATGGAACAAAGGGGGGAAGCGGTGGTGAGAGAGGAGGGGGAAAGCAAACTCAGGCACCAGTTCTTAAAATTACAGTGGTACCTTGGGTTACATACGCTTCAGGTTACAGACGCTTCAGGTTACAGACTCCCCTAACCCAGAAATAGTACCTCAGGTTAAGAACTTTGCTTCAGGATGAGAACAGAAATTGTGCTGCGACGGCACGGCGGCAGTGGGAGGCCCCATTAGCTAAAGTGGTACTTCAGGTTAAGAACAGTTTCAGGTTAGGAACGGACCTCCGGAACCAATTAAGTTCTTAACCCGAGGTACCACTGTACTCAGTTTGCATACCAAATACCAGCTGGGGTGGAAACAGTGTGTGGAGAGGAGCCAAAAAAAAAAGTCTCTCAGCAGGGACAAAGCAATGGCCCAACTCCCAACCCTGGAGCCTAATGTATTTGTATGTAAAGATGCGCAGGAAGTACAGTCAATTCCTGTACTTCTTACCTATTGATGATCCTGGGGATTGAATCAAGAACCTTTTGAACTGACCTTTGGACTACCCTCATGGGCTATCTGGGGCAGGTTGCCATGAATGAGACCATTTTAGAATCATAGAATTGTAGAGTTGGAAGGGACCACAACAGTCACCTTGTCCTATCCCAGGGGTCAGCAACCTTTTTCAACCGTGGGCCAGTCCACCGTCCCTCAGACCATGTGGTGGGCTGGACTATATTATTTTGGGGGGGGGGGGAATGAACAAATTCCTATGCCCCACAAATAACCCAGAGATGCATTTTAAATAAAAGCACACATTCTACTCATGTAAAAACACACTGATTCCTGGACCGTCTGTGGGCCGGACTGAGAAGGCGATTGGGCCACATCCGGCCCGTGCGCCTTAGGTTGCCTACACCTGTCCTATCTGCTGCAATGCAGGAATCTTCTGCCCAACGTGGGGCTCGAACATATAACCCTAATATTAAGAGTCTCATGCTTTACCAACTGAGCTATCCCAGGAGAAGGATAGCATTATATGCTTATTGCTCAAAAAAAGCTCTCCAGGCATAGAAGGAAATAAGGGTGTGCATGCAAAATAAGAAGGTGTTACGATCTATCCGAATAGGCCAGGCCCAGTATAAATATTGCCTGTAACAGTGGGGGGGGGGTATATTGAAAATGAGAAAATGAGCACAAATTGTCACTTACATACTGCTTCCCTTCCCTTCCTCACTTACTTTCCCACATAGTACAGTAAAGGTAAAGGTAAAGGGACCCCTGACCATTAAGTCCAGTTGTGACCGACTCTGGGGTTGCGGCGCTCATAAATGTTGTTAAATGGAGTTGGACTGTTGCAGTTACTCTGTAATAAGTACTGCCAGGTCCATTGTGAAATTAAATTTACTTATTGCTAGTTTGGGGGGGGGTGTGTTTTAAAGCAGACAGTGTTATGGTTAATTTACTTCTTTAACAAAAAAACCCCAAAATCTTGCTTCAGAAAGCAGTACAGCCAGACAGTACTTTGAGTACAACTCAGTTGAATACCGCCTATTAAGACAAAATAGATATTTAAATAGTCTTTGCATGCGGGCGGGGGGAGATTAATGCACAAACAGGGCAGACTTATGAATAAGCACATGCAAAACTGACATGGACCAGAAATAGACTAATTGGTCCATCCCCAGATGGCTGCACCCTGCTGTGCTCAGAGCGCCAAGAGAACTGGCTTGAGCAATCTCCCCTGGACACTCCACATATAGTCAGATACTTGGAATGTGTGTGTGATAAACACTAGGGACTCGTAATCTAAAGATATTTGGGAGGCGGGAACCCATTGATTCTCCAGAGTTGTGCAAGGGTACTGGAGATGAGCAGTCAGGGAAAGCTATTAACTGTACTGTCTTCTTTTCTCATCTTGCCTTCTGTGCTTGCTGCAGCATGCAAAGGAACTTATAGCGCTCCATACTACAGAACTGTTCCACTGTTCCTCAGTGCCATAGTCTCCCACCTTTGCTATGAAGAAATGTACTTCAGAATGAAGAACTGTAGCAGAACCCAGAAGCAGCTAGCGTACCCAACCGCCCCGTCCCTAACATTTGGCAGAACAAGACTGCTGCCTCAGGCAGCTGATTCTGGGTGTCATGTAAGGGCAGCCAGTTATTAGTTATTTAATTGCATCTGCACTGTTAGGGAGACACACTTGTAGGATGTTCTGTCTCAGCTGCCAAAATAAATTGGGTACTACACACCTTGATTTGAGAGGGGGAACATTTGCTGTTCCTCCTCAGGCAGCAAAATCCCTTGGGTTAGCCTTGTGCACAGGCTTCCGCTAAGACACAAGATTATTAGCCATCCTGTTTTACCGATGGTCTCGATCTTGAGTAGGAGAGGTTTGTTCTGAGCAGAAGCCCATGGAGGAAGCTCACAACCTGAATACATGCTGCATTATGTATGAAAATATTGCAATTACCAAAATGTACATCTCGTGGATGGGGGAGGTCCTAGGAGTGTACCGCTGGAGAGTACCTTATCTTCCCAAGCATGCTGGCATACACTCCCTCACACACAGTGAAAAGTGGTACAAACCGCAGACAAGGTTTGGCATGCGGCAAGCTCTTTCTCTAGATCAGCCCTGCTCATTCCATTTTAAAAGATCTACGGACGAAGGGTGGTATACAAATTTAATAAATAATAAGAACAAAAATAAAAGAAGGATCTACCAAAAAGAGGGAGGAAAGGGAAATTTCTCTGCCTCCTCTCTTCTTAATGTTTGGTAGCACTCAGCATGGATAATCCCTGACCACAGCAGGGAAACCTATTCCCTGCTTTTGCTGAAAGGAAGGCTTTTCTTCTCTTGTGTATACTGAATCTGTGCCATTCTCTCTTCAGGCCAGCTGCTGTCCTTCAACTGCTGGGACACCCACATGGTCCCACAAATTACAGGATCCTCTGCTGGGGTTGCTCTAAAAATATCCTGCCATCATGAATTATCCTAAAATGAATTGTTTTAAAAATAGGCTCTGAAATGACTGTTCCTCTCCGTCTCCTACCGAGAGATCTGCGGGTAAGTAAAAAAGCCACTTAGTCTTCCACACGCGCCAGTAAGCACTGGCTGCAGGCAGCGGCTTCCACTGTGTCTACTACGCCCAAGCCAAAAGTGCCAGGAGAGGCACAGAGGTCTGTGAATCCACACCCAACAACCTAAGAGTCCCTTTTCTCTGCTGCTGCCAAGAGCCTGTCAGAGGGGGAGGGGAATAGCGCAAGTTGACATGTTTTATTAGGCCTCCTTCTTGGAACGGGGATGCATGAGTTTTACAGAACTTTTTCCAGGCAGGTTGCAGTAGACCAGGCCTTGACACAAGAGGAGGAGCTTAGAGTTAGGTCAGTGGTAGAGCAGAAGCTCCAAGGCTTAATCCATTGGATTCCCAGGTAGTCTGAGACCCTGGAGAGCCTCTACCAGTCAGTGTCAACAGAACTAGACTGGGCAATGTTTTGCCTCAGGAGAAGGCAGCTTCCTAGCCTCCTAGAAGTACTCGGCAATTTGATGTCAGAGGCTGTGTGAATATTGAGATGCCCCACAAGTGCAGAAGGGGATCTCTACCACCGAGCTGTGGTCCTTTGCCATTGAACATCTGAAAGGAAACCCACATATATAACTGTACGCAATGTGTGCACTCTTGTATGTGAGGGACTCCATTTGCTGTTCAATAATGGCCTAGGCCAGGTGTACCTGAAGGACTACACCCCCATCGTTCAGCCCAGACACTGAGGTCCTCCTCCGAGGGCCTTCTGGCGGTTCCCTCACTGTGAGAAGTGAGATTACAGGGAACCAGGCAGAGGGCCTTCTCGGTGGTGGCGCCTGCCCTGTGGAACGCCCTCCCATCAGATGTCAAGGAAATAAACAACTATCTGACTTTTAGAAGACATTCTGGCCCATTTGGGGTGCTCCATCACATTTAGAGTTAGTTAAATTTCAAACTAAACATTCTAATAAAGATCCTAACAAAACTTGCCGGAGTCCATTCATTTCCCCTCAGTATGGTTGTTCATTCTTTGCCCAGACATAGGCATATGGCTCTTAAAAGTTTCACTGCCAAACAAATCCTAAACACCACTGTTATTTTTTTCTGCATTGCCTCTATTGTATAACCACATTGATGATTTATTTAAGTCTGATGGATGGAAAAACAGATAAAGTGAACCAAGACCCCAGCATATATCCCCAAAGGTGCTTACTAGTTCTATACAGCTCAAAGCAGCAAGAACTGCTTTGAAATATGGGAACACATTGTAATGTTCAGTGAATAGTACGCTAGCGGGAGGTCATTTTTTTGGACCAGATCCAGTATGGAAACAACTAACTCTCACACTAAATGACGATAAAGCAGTAAGTTTTCTCTCTCCCTCTCTTAAAATAGTGGGTTAGTGACTCTTACTGAGTCATGAAGCCAAAATCCCTGTTTAGTCTGTTGTTGCAAGCCCTGATTAAGAAGCAAAGGTCATTGTTAAGTCTGGTATATATTTTCATATAACAGAGCTCAGTTCTTATTTGAAATGGTCAATTTCTGTTTCTTCCATTACTGCTGCTCTGAGCAAAGGACACTTGGTAAGCAAGGAAAGCTGAAATTGGCTTTCTTTAGTTTGCTGCAAACCACAGCATAATCTTATGCATGTTTACTCAGGTGTAAGTCTCACTGTGTTCAATTAGGATGCTCCCTAGTAGGGATACACAAAACTGTCAAGTTTGCTTCCTCTCTGTTTCTAACTTTTCCAATCTTAAGTTTAGTTCCTCATATTTCTGCATCAGTTCACAAAACATTTCTTTTTAAAGTCCTTACGAAAATTTGTTAGCAGTTAACGTGTCTTTCCCCTAATATATACATTTCTGCAAGCATTTCCCCCCAATATAATGCATTTTGCATGTTCTTTTCACTGGTATTTATTTTTGGATTTTATTTTATTTATTGCATAAGATTTATATACCACGTGATTGTAGAAAAAAATCTCATAGTGGTTTACAAAGAAGAGAAAAACAATAAAACTATCACTAAAAATGTAGTCCTAATTTAAAACATACAGAAGGTTAAAACCACAATAAAATAGACTAAAACAAATTAAAACTCCTACAAACTTTCTAAACGTCTGGGTAGGCTTGTCTAAATGAGAATGTCTTCAGCAAACCCGAAGGAATACAGAGAAGGTGTCTGCCTGATTTCAATAGGGAGGGAGTTCCAAAGTTTCAGTGCTGTCACACTAAATGATAAAGTTCTTACAGATGTGGTGCCAGTATTATGTGGCAGCCTTATTTCCTTACCTAGCTTTCCTTTCCTGGGCTATTCCTACCTGGTTTTAGCATGCTCATTCAACTTCTCCAAACCTCTTATCAGAAGGAAGCGGGATTCTTGAAAAACATGTATCCAAAAAGAAGGGAGGGAGAAGAGGCCTGCACACCTTTCTATTTCAGCCTAATGAGGTATTGGCACTGGCGGAGGAAGAGGAGTGGGGGGGGGCACGCCACCAACGGCAGTGCAATCCTGGTGGGGTGCCATTGTGGCTGCCCCCCGCCACGCTGGGCACCACGCCCCCGCAGACAGTGTGCCACGCCCCTGCAGGTAGCACGCCAGGCCCCCAGGATGCATGCCAGCCCCGCCCCGCCTGCTCTCCTCCTCCAGCTGTCAGAGCTTGAAGCTCCGCCACTGGGTATTTGTATGTATCATGGACAATTAAGTGAGCAATACTAGTTCTATTATTATTAGGTGGATTCAAATCAATTAAAAGTAGATCAAATTGGCTACATTCAAACATATTTCACATAAGCATCCATCTAGACCAGCGGTTCTCAATCTGTGGGTCCCCAGATGTTGTTGGACTGCAACTCCCATCATCCCTGAGGTTTGGCCTTGCTAGCTAGGTGTGATGGGAGTTGTAGTTCAACAACATCTGGGGACCCACAGGTTGAGAAAGGCTGATCTAGACATACTGAGGGCTTATACTGAATTAACGATTTCTGTACCAATTGTCACTGTATCTGCAATGTGAAATGATGGTGGTCTACTATTATCATTAGTATCCTTTGTTTATGATGATGATGTGTTTTTTCCTCTTCTCTTTCTTCAATTTTATTTTAACTTTTACTCATTCCTCCCCCCCCCTTTCATTTAAAAATAAGAAATCAATTTTTAGAAAGTGGATAAGATTCATTGCCTGGAATTAAACTTTCTTCCTGAAAGTAAAGCTATGGGCCATCTCTTTTAGGTAGCCTGATCAGCTGTTTTCAAGGGCAATGGTTCATTTGAAAGAGAACACACCCACCTAACAGAACCAACTCTTCTGCTAACAACACGGTAGGCTTTTAAGAGGTTTAGGGACACGTTTCTCGAACCAGCATGCATGGACCTTGCTCGCTCACCATTGGCATTGTCTTCTGTCTTGACAGGCATGAGGGGGCTCTGGGGAGCTGAGTCTCCGCTCAGGGAGTAGCTGTGCTCTGCTTGGATGCCAGGAGTAGGAGAGTCCAGATCCATGTCCAGCAAAGGGTTCTTTTCAACCAGCATGGGGTCATCAAAGAAGCTGTTGAAGAGTTCGTTGGAAAAGTCCTCCATGTTCTCGGAGAAGTGGTCGAAGTTCTCAGAGAAATGCTGAGAAAAGGGCAAAAAGAAGAGCATTAAGCATCACCTCCGTGAGGGACTAGAGGGCCTTCTACTGAAACGTATCCCAAGCCAGATGTATCAGGAGCCAAATTATCTGGAAGAGAAGCAGCTATATTCCTCCTTTTATTCTTACCGTTTTCATAGCTACAGAAAGCTGTTGTTTTCTTAAAGAACGAACCAGACAATATCCACAAAGATATACCTCCTTGCCTGCCATTTATACCTTAATTTAACTAACCCTATTTAATGGACCCATTTCTCCTCGGCGCTCATAACAAACCATCTGTACATCTTTTTCAACAACAAGCTTCATGTTATCAAATACTGTGGATATCAGAATTATTGGTTTGTCACCATTGGCACACACCATTTCAAATTGACAATGAGATCTACACACAGGAGGAAAATGCTATAAATAAGTCAGAAATTAAATTGTTATAATTTAAAAATCGCAAATAATTTCCCTCCCTCTCCAGCACCATCTGGTGTTGCATGTTTATAACGCATTCAGAACGCTAATTTTTGACTAATGTAGCTGAGTCCAGTGACAGTGGCCAGCAGTTTTCTGTTTGCCCCACCACTTTCCCCAGGAAAACACACTCTTTAGCACTGAATCAGAACAAACATCCATCCGCGGAAAATGCAATTGACATTTGCTCTGATTCAGCAGTAAAGATTGGGTTTTCCTGGGGAAAAGTGGTGGGATAAGCAGAAGCCTGGGTGAGCCCTATGGCAACAAATTTTAGCATAATTTCCCAAATAAGTGGAGGATGAAGCAGCTAATATGAATAGTGGTGCTACTGGATTATTATGAAGTCTGGCCCTCAAAAAAGTATTTCTTTCTTAGGCATATTGTATAAGGCATTTCCACTTAGCAAAGGAATAACCAAATAGCTAGGGGAAACTCTAATGTTTCTTGCAGCAAACACAGATACACATATCTCTTTAAAGACATTGATATGTCCATCTGGAAACCCTGATTGGGAAAGGGTTCCAACATGTGTGTACATGGATGTTAAAAGACGTGCATGTATATGTGTATATAATACCCACATGTTATATGCTTGCTGCAAGAAACACTGGTGTAACACCATTTTTTCCTTCAACACTTTTGGCTACATACACCCACCCAAAAGAATCCCAGGAACTGTAGTTTACCCCTCACACAACTGCAAACCCCAGCACCCAAAAACTACAGTTCCCAAGTTTCTTTGGGCAGGGAAATGTGCTTTATATGTATGGCATGTACACAGCCAGTGGAACACTTCTTACGAAAAGCTGTTAATGGTTTTATGAAGTCCCACCAGATCATACGTTTCAGCTCTTAATAGATTTCTCACCTGTTTCTACCACAGCTTTCACAGTGACCCCTTGCTGGCCCCACCAGCTCCTCAGGGACCAGAAATGCAGTACTGCAGCTAACTCATATTACCCTATGCAGATTGCGCCCTGCAGTCTTCCTACCTGGCTAGGACCAGTTGGGATTCCTTTCTATCTCCATGTTGTAAGCACCATACAGCTCATATGCTTTTCATGGTGACAAACATTTGAGAGGCTTGCTATGCTGCAGTTTTGCCACAGGTGTCCAAAATCTATCCATCTGTCTAACTGAAGGGGAAAAACTACCCAGAAAGCCCCATGCAAAATTAAAGAGAAGCATCTCCAAATCCTGTACTCTGCAGATACTGTCCCTAGATAACAAGCCCTCCCGTATGTTCCTCAAACAGCATTACACACCCATGTCCCTCTGGAGTTTACAAGGCCAGATGTTTCTGTCTATCTTTATAAGAAGGAACTTAAGCTAAACAAAAGGAAAGGGTTGTGACATTTTAATATCCTTTAGGATTCCGGCCATTTTTTGCGAGTCCTAGAAAAATAGAATAAAGTCACACGATGCCTGTGAATATCTGGCTTGCTCAGAAAGTTTAACGATGACTTAGTAACATTAACATGACCTGGTAACATTAATATGAGTATAGCACTACCATCCAATAAATCCAGATTTTATAGTTTTAAAAAAATACCCCAGATCTTTCCACATGGCACACCATTTTTTGCTGGCAGGGGACAAAAGGATTCATCAAACAGTAAGCAAGAAGTTACCCTCTTAAGAACCTAGAAAAAGGGAAAGGATTGCAGGGATGCTTTACATGTTACATTTCCCCTACACAAAAAAGTCTCCATATCCATGTGGGTGCATGGCATACTGCAGAAAGGTTACTGTGACCCCCCCCCCCCCCGTTAATGCTGCTGTTGCATTCAGATGGATCAAAAACTCACCTGTCCACATTCCTGCTGCTGGGAGAAAGGTACAGTCCCCTTTGTGTTAAGACACTTGCCAGACCCAACCACTAGGAGGCAGTCTGGGGCAGGGGGCAATTTAACTAGACAGGTTGTTACTGTGACCTGAGATGTGTTTTGTGGACTGTTTTCAGATGGAAATCTAATTACTCCTTACAATGTATCCAGTGTGCTGTTTTTTGAAGACATATGATGTTCACCACATGATGTTCACCACAATGTATTGATCCTGTCATTTCTTGACAAATACTACTATTTGATATGTAATGCATGGATTAATTAAATTATTGATCATCTTGATTACATATACAGTAGATGGAATGTAAGCATAATTATACATATGTGAGTAAGAGAGAGCGAGAGAGAGCAGTCCTACTCTGATTGAATATTATATAAAATACTTTTCTTCTTGGTTTGCAGTTCTGATGCAGAGCATCCATTTATTACTGAAAGATAACATTTCAAGGTGGGAAGTAAGTACCATGCTTTATATGGTATTCTACACAAAACATCATAAAGGAAAGATGTGCTCTGTAGTGTGTGGTGCATGGTCTTAAAATTCCACTCTGAGGCACACTGCTTGCTTTTTATTATCCAGACTGGAGAGGAGGGTGGGTCATTGTCTGGCCTCCTCTCCCGTGAGGAAATCCCTTGAGCAGGACCTGCCAGCTCAAAAAAACTGAGGGAGGAGTTGAGCTGGGCACCCCGGATACTACAATGTAAGTTCCTGTTTCAATAGCAAGGTGTGTGTTTGTTTTGCTCTGGAATAATATCATTATGTAAATAGAAGAAAGGCAATGAAAAGGCTGCATAGAGGCTGGTTAAAGGAACAGATATCAGGTAACTTTTAAAACAATCAGTTCTCAGCCATGTACTGAAAAGAGCAGAGAGTTCTGGAGTGTAGCTGGAAGTGGAATATAGTCAGGTAGATATTCAGATATTCAGGCAGGAAAGAAGTTGCCACTGGGAATTCTATGTGCACACAACTCCAACCCAGCCATTAGCACTGGTGACATTTTTCAAAATGCATACAAAAGGTCTATACATGACAATCACAGCATATGGGGTGGCTAATATAAATCTCAAAAGAAACTACTAGGTGAAAACAATATTTTAAGATCTTGAAAGCAGGCCTAGATCAAGATATGGAAGTCTGCATGGGACAGAAGAGGAGAAAGACTTTCTGCCCTTGTGAGTCCTCCCTGCAGGTTCAGCCTAGATTGATCAACTCCTTCCTGGGGTGGGGATGGGGGGGTTGGCTTGCCACACTCCAGCCCTGGCAGTGTCCAATGGAATAACAAGTTCAGGGGCGGCTGAAGCGATGTGAGCCATTTAGCTTCCCAGCACCAGGAGAGGAGGAGATGGAGCTTCACCCAGGCCATTGCACAACATGGAGCCTTGTGGGACAGAAGGGATTGGCCCAGCTGGCTAAAATGGAGATAACTGTGCCAGGAGTGCACCAAGGAGGCTGCAGAGGTGAGCCAGAGGAGGGAAAGGAGAAGCACCAGGGTTTCAATGACTTGAAGGACCTTCCCTCTCTAGGATTCTTTCTCCCATTGGCATATTATCCTGATCCTTTTGCAAGTGCAAATGCTTCCTCATCAGTGCTTGCCCCTTTTATCTCTGGACAAGTACTCATTTACCAGATTAGCACTAACCATGGTGTGCCTCAGAATGGGTTTTTCAGACGTAAGTGCTTTCTGCACTTAAGGTAGTTTATGCACTGGGATAAGGGATAATTATGGTCATTACCAAAGATTGTATGAGGCACAGACACCCTTAAAGAAGAAAGCACTCCCAGATCACTCCAGATTTGGAAAATGCTATTTAATTTCAAGACAAGGCAACAGATTCAGGGGTGAATCATAGTTCATATATTCAGCAGGGTGAATCAAAGGTTGAAGAGAGTTGAAAGATGGTCAGCAACGCCCCCTGACAAGATCAGAGACTCTTGACTTGCCCTTCTGCTAAGGCCCATGTTTGGTGGCTGGAGTTTGCACTTCCATACAAAAACACTGTGACCTGTCCACGACCCCTTTTTAAAGCCATCCAAGCTGGTGGCCATCTCCACATCTTGTGCCACTGATTTCCATAAATTAATTATGTGTTGTATGAAGAAGTACTTTTTGTCTGTTCTGAATTTCACTCTATACCATCAAGTTCTAGTATGAGGAGGAGGCAAAAAGCACCTCTCCCTCTTCACACCATACAAAATGTTAAAAACCTCCCCCATGTCTTCCCCAAAACCCTGGCAGGCAGCAATGGGGATGGATGGAGCAAAAAGCAGCACCAATGCCACATCCGGAATTCTGCCACTTGCACCAGCCAGTGAAGGAGATGAAAGGGCGGGAAAACCATGAATTTCTGTTGCACTAGTTCCAGCCAGCAGCAGCAGCAGAGATCCTGTGCGCTCCAAAATATTGAATCCCCAAACCAGGATGCTTATCTTCCCATCCATGCTCCTACATGAGTTACGTGACCAGTGCAAGCTCACAGAACACAAAAGGCCTGCCTTTTGGGGTACCATGTAAGACTGCAGCCCCTAAAAGAACACTTTCTTCAGGGTGAGATCTCACTGCAAAATTGCAAGAGATCATGGCGCCCAAAATGGCCACCGTGCTCTTGCAGGAAAAGAATGGGACATCCTGTTTTTTCCAGCACTTGTAGGGCATGGGATCCAGCAGACTCTTGGCCAGGTGAGCCTTGTCCCACCCTCTCCTCCCTGCCTCCCAAAACCTCAATTTTGAGGGTATGCACCAACTACCTCCCATAGGGAAGCCACCAGTGGTATCTTCTGTCTGTGTGTAGATTAGGTAGTACAGTGCCAGATCATCGATCTAGCAAAGCCCAACACATGTATCATCCCGACAGAAACCTCTGCCATCACAGCATTGCTCTTAGTTGTGGTATTTTCCTAAACTAAAAAGCCCCAAATAATTTAGACTTCCCTTTTAGGGAAGGTGTTCAGCAGTGTTTCCTACTACCGGTATATATTTCAGTTCCTACAAGAAAGTTTCCAGATTAAATATAAATGATACTGGATGGGATATATATCTTCTTTCAAAGAAGGAAGTTACATTTGTTTGTGTTGTATCCTAGTGGCTCTGCCATGATTGCTTCTTATGTGAGTGTCAGGAGACTAAACTGAGAAGCTCTCTCTTCCTATATAACCTATGACTAAATGCTTCATGAAATAATCACTTTATGTCATCTAGGGTGTGCTGCAGAGATAACATCAATCAATCACTGACTGGAGTCCAATATAGGATAATGGAGAACGTTGTGGATTACGTAAAGCCTTTAAGAAAGGGGTGGGGAACCTGGTGCACTCCAGATGTGCTCCCATCATCCCTGACCATTGGCCATGCTTGGAGGGGCCAGTGGAAGCTGGAGTCCAACAGCATCTGGAGGGTCACAGATCCCACATCCCTGCTTTAAGACTTTTGCCAGTTCTCTTTTGCGCTTAGGAAAACCATGGAATGAATTAATATAACTAGGAAGAGGGCTTAAGGCAGACACTCATGTAGATCTTGGGCTGAAGTTCTGCAGCCTCCTCCAGATCCAGATTCTAGCTTGTTTTCAAAACCATATATATAAACACCCTTACAAACTATTCACTGAGTGATTTAAGAGCGAATGAAGACGGCTTTTGCAGCAAGCATCAAGTGGCAAGAGTGAACCTCGCTGTGGCTTCTGTGAACTTGCCTTCAGGCAAAGTCACCAGTTTGAGGCAAGCCAGTTGGGAATGGGACCAACATCATTTTGTAGGGTAAGCTGCTTCCCAATGCGGTCTGAAGTTAAAAGCACCAAGTCCAAATTTAGTGCTCCATTATCTGCATCTCTCTTTCACCCCTGTGTTCTCTCTCTCCCTCCTCTCCTCTCCTCCCCTCCCCTCCCCCACCCCTCATATTTCACAGCCAAGAAATAGCACAAGATGTGTTTCCAAAGCGTTACCAATGAACAGTCAGGATGGGGGCAGCCAAGGTTCACTGAGACCCATAGTGGGGCTGCGCCGATTCCCTGACACAAGCCAAAGTTTCAGGCCGCTCTTAACTGCTCCGCTCTTTCCCATGAGCTTGGAGATAGGGGAAGATATACCTCCTGATCTCATATTTGGGCATCGTTCTCCAAATGCAGGCAATCTTTTAACTTTGTAAGAAAATCTGCTCCTGCTTAAGCCGTCTCATTCCTGAAGCAAGCATGTGAGGCTGTCAGTCATTGGCTGCGGTACGACACTCTCCCAGTGACAGACGCATGATAGGCCGAGTCTTCCAAACATATTTTCACCACATGTTCTCATCACCACAAGATGAGCTAAGGCTGCCTGAGTGACACGGCCTAAGCCTTTGTGAATCTCCATTGCAGGGCTGGCCTTACCATCAAGCACCTCAAGCAGCAGGTGCTGGGGGCAGAAGCAACAGCCCTACCCCACCCCTGTGGCAGTTCCTCATGAGCCATTTCCCTCCGCTGGATGTCAGAGGCGTATGTGCCTGTCATGCATCACCTCAACCACCCTCAAGTGGTACTAACCCACTGCCAGAGTTGAAGTAAAATTCAACTTACAGCCCAGTCAGCTTCCGTATGTGGAAGCCATGCAAGGGTGGTGATGGTGCTATCTTGTCCTCTGCCTCGGGGAGCAAAATGTCTCGGGCTGGTTCTCCTGAGCATAAAAGTTTGTCTCAGAGGTTAAGCCAGGAGTGTTTGCTTTGTGCCTTTCAGACGTGGGTGAACTATAGCAGCACACACCCCATACCTTTAAAGCCCCACCCCCACCCCTGAACTGTAATTTGTTAAGGGCACTGAGAATAGGTGACTTGTGAGGGGTACACTACAGTTCTCCAAATTCTTGGGGTGGAGGAATGTGCTTTAAACATGGTGTGTATGCAGCCTACAACTCCCAGCATCCTTGACTGCAGGCTGTGCTGGCTGGGGCTGCTGGGAGTTGGAGTCCAACAACATGAGAAAGGCCCCACTCCGGCCAACCCTGAGTTAAGCTGAAAATATACAAATGTGAACTCATCTCTGTTGCTTGGGCTTCCCCTTTCCTTTAAGAAACCCAAATTCTTCATTTCTTTTCCTCAGGGTTGTGCCGTCTTTTCACCTTAAAAGAAAAAAAAATCCAGGAAAGAGTCTCACCCCTACTGCTTCAGATTCAAATAAGTTTTCCCCATCCTGACCTTTCTACACTAAAACTCACTCCAAAAAGAAGCCAGCAAAAGGCCAATCCCACTGGACTAAAGCCCAAATCCAGGAGACGAAGGCTGCTTGAAAACCAGAGGTTCTCCTCATGCTGGCCAACTGTGCCAAACCGGCAGGGGATTCTTCTAAGTTTTCTCTTTTACTTTTTATTATTAAATAAATATATATTTTTCCTTCTCTGCCTGCCAAGATAAATCTCCAATTCCAGCTGTGACATCTGCATTTCCCTTCTCTGCTTTCAATAAGGAATGAGCACCCCCCCTCACCCTACACGCCAGCTTCACAGCTGAGGTTTCTTTTACACTCCAAAAAAGAAGAAGCTGCATGCCTCCATCCATTCTTTGCTCCCTTAATAAAAAATTGCGGTGAATGTTAGTGCTTGTGAAACTGACAGCCTGACAGTGTTAACAAGAGACAGGCAGCATGTGGGTCTTGCAACCTGGTTAACACACCTCCGACCTGATCCTCACGATTACTGTAAGCCTGTTCCCAAATTTCTACCCTCCCTGTCCTCTCTTTGTTCTTAGCCCATGAATATTTCACTTTGGGACGCCCATGCTTTCCGCCATCCAATGGCTACTTCACATGTGTTTTTAGCATGAACAGAGCCTAGGACTTGCCAATCAGATGGTCGGCGGTTCGAATCCCCGCGATGAGGTGAGCTCCCGTTGCTCGGTCTCTGCTCCTGCCAACCTAGCAGTTCGAAAGCATGTCAAAGTGCAAGTAGATAAATAGGTATTGCTCCGGCGGGAATGTAAGCGGTGTTTCCATGCGCTGCTCTGGTTTGCCAGAAGTGGCTTAGTCATGCTGGCCACATGACCTGGAAGCTGTACGCCAGCTCCCTCGGGCAATAAAGCGAGATGAGCGCCACAACCCCAGAGTCGGCCACGACTGGACCTAATGGTCAGGGGTCCCTTTACCTTTGCCTTTATAATCAGATAGACAAACCTGTCTTTTTGAGAACACATGAGCACTGACTGAAAACAAGTACACATGCCAAGGGACCCAGAGTCAGCCCAATATATTTTGCTGCCTAAGATGAAGGACAAGATGGCGCACCCTCCTCATTTCATGGACAGAGGCTGAGTGGAATGGCAGTTGAACTTGCCTCAACACTAAGTGACAAGATGGCACCTTCCACTGCACCTTAGACACCAAGTCTAGGGGAGCTGGGTCAGCTCATATGGCATACACAGCTCTGTCTTTCAACAGAAGGAAACAGCTGGAGGTTCAGGAGGAGGCGCCAGAGAGTTGCCACTGCTCTCCCCCAGCATCTCCTGCATGAGGTGGTGACCTTGTTCTGCCTAATGGTAGGGCAGGCTCCACACAGACCCAGTAATTTGACTCTTATGATGACTTAATTCTGACTTCATGTGAAACCATGACTTGTGCTAGCCATTGTTTAGGACCCAAACTACTATCTGAGCTTCCAAAGGTACAAAAAGCAAGCCATGGTTTTAGAGCTGCTTCTATTTTCTTTCTTCTCAGCACTCAGCTTCATAAATTCACTCCCCGCTACATGAAGACCAGCTTCCCGAGGTGGTGCGATAGCTGAAACTACTGAAACCATCAGTTGAGACACCCTACTCACCGTTAGACAAACCACAATCTGCAAACTCACTTCAAGCTATGATGTCTGTGCTTCCTGGCTAATCACAAACCAACGGATGACATCATGACAAAGCATAGTTTAGCTTCTTCAAGCAGACATGAGACTGTGAAACAGCCCTGAGAAAATAAAGTAGGTATTTCCCTTGTACATACGTGAACAAGGTATTTAGTGTATGATACAAACTATGTCGAATGAGAGCACCAAGCTGAGCTTCCTTGAGCTGGTGCCAGATTGGATGCAAACCCACTATGTGTACTTCACACTAAATTCTCATGCTAAGGGCAAATTAAGCAACCATCACTGAAAAACACTTATAAGGAAAACAGACTACGCTCCTATTTAAAAAGATGCAGTTGGAGGTTATGGATCACGAAGTGTAACCTCATACACTTTGGTCCTGAATGATATTTTCCAGGCCTGTGGATTGTTCACTGCTACACATGTCACTTGCAATCCACAACTGGGGCTGCAAGTTCAAAGAGACTTAACATATGACTTTTTTCTTATTGGGTAAGTGAAGCATGAATGTTTATTTTGCTACGAGCATGATTGTCAGATAGCTGGTGAACAGAATGCAACTGATGGTATATACAGCCCAGGGGTGGATGGATCAGCTTTTTCTCATTCCCTGTCAGTGTCTCCATAAGTCGATTGTGTCCTGTTAACATGGATTGTAAAACAAACGTGCACAAAATTAGAAATTTCTCTATGCAGGTTTTTTTTTTGCATTTTTTCTATGCACCTTCCCCCAAAATATGCATTTTGTGTACATTTTCTCCAAAAGAAATGATTTTGCATGCCCTTCCCCTTGAAATATGATTTTTTGGTAAGCAACAAATTTGGAATGCAGTTAGCAATCTGCATAGAAGTCTGGGAACTGCTAATTTGGTTGGCACACTTTAAAACACAGGGCAAAATTATCCTCCATTGCTAATATGATTACCCCTTGAAGACTGTCTGGTAGAATTATATGCAGACTTTCTTTCTACTAAAATGAAATGATGTTATCCAAAGTTGGGTGCCTGAAACCCTTCAGTGACATGGAAAATACAGAATGTGAAAGAGGTATATATATTCAGCTGTTGCAAAAATTATATTTCAAAAACGATATTTCCCCTAAGCTTTTTTCTGAAGCCGTGAGTTATGAGGAGAACTTTGCAGGCTACTCTAGGTTCCTTATATTTTATAGGAGATAAAAATATAACGAACAAGTCAAATGAGTATATACCAGCAGAAATGTCATTTTAAAGATAAAAATCCTTATGACCAGTCCTACTGTTAGGCAGAGTGAGGCATCCACCTCAGGCAGCAGCTGCTGAGAGCAGCTGCCAGGTGTAGGGAGAAAGAAGCTGTATGTGTCATGCAAAGTGCCCTGCGTCCCCATAGCTAGCCTGCTCCCTTGAGCTGTGGACACAAAAGTTGTTGAGTATTTTCTTTCTTTCTCGAAGCTAATAAGTTTTTGAGCTATTTTTAAGAAATTCGCAAAAATCTAAACTTCCGACATGGGTTCCCTTACGTCTGGATTTTCATGAACATTAAAGCTATTTCTGCCCGGACACTGTTTCCAATGGCCAGATCCTGTCAGTGTCCAGGAAATTCCGGACGTAAGGCAACTCTAGTTTGACACGAAATTCAGCTGCCAGTCTACTAGTTCAACTTCTGTCGGTGGAATGGAGATTTGGGTTGCCATATTTACCTTTGCTTCCGGTTGCAAAATATCTAAAATACCCAAACTGCCCCATTGACCCCTGCAATAAATGAAGTCTATCCCTCATTGCAAATTCCACCCATCACTTTTAAACAAACCTTGACAGCACACAATCCTGCGCATACTTACACAGAAGTAAGTTCTTCTCTGCTTAATATGAGTTACTCTCATGTCAGCAGGCGTAAGATTGCAGCCCAAAGCACATTTGCCTTTATCAGGGGGCTAACGCTACGGCTCAGCTGTGGCCTATTCAGAGAGTTACTGATGCCCAGTCAATATCTGAATGCACACAGTACATTTTCATTGCCATTTTAACAGTCATGGCTTCCCCCAAAGTATCTTGTGAAGTTTCATTTATTAGGAGCGCTGAATGCAGTTAGAAGACCCATAACTACAGTTCCCAGCACCCTTATCACACTACAGTTTCCAGGATTCCTAGAGGGATTCCATTACTATTAAAGTGGTATAAGAGTGCTTGAAATGTATGGTGTGAATATGACCTATACTGTACTTTAAATACAGATCCGGCTGAGGGGAAATGCTTTAGAATAGTCTAGACTCTTTTTCTTTTATATTGCTTCTGCAGGAAAGTTGTAAAAAAGAATCTTGCCCAGTTCCTTGAGTTCTGGAATCCTTGAGTTTCTAAAAGGCTCCGGGGTTGACATTCCTGCTTTTCTGCCAGCAGCAAAAATGAAGGGCGGGATAAGGGGGCACTTTTACATAATCAAAACCAACAGAGAAGAAAAATATTCATGAGACAGTAGTGAGGAGTATTTTCTTCCTATGTGTTAATAATTTTCAGATCTAACAGTGGAAGGTGATATGTAAAATATATGTTCTCTTTGGCTGTTGTTGCCGTCCATTTAAAGATGCCGCAATGAAGCCTCATATTCATTCAAACCTCCTTCCAGCAAAGGATCTTTGCCAAAGCAATGGTTTTACAGTTTCTAATGCTGGGTCCCATAAGGGCCGCAACGGGTGTCACAGGCACACAAAAAAACTCCTGAAAAACAGTTTGAGCATTGCAGCAGAATCAGGAGCCAGCATTCTCAGGTACTTGCCAGGGTCCCCATCTCAGCAAGGAGGCCCAGTGCCGAAACCTGGAACCTCTCAGCCTGTCTGCCTCTGCTCCTTGCTGTCCTTCTCTTTTCACCTGACCTCTCTGAACAAGCCAGCAATGGTGGGAGAGGGGCAAGCATCAGCCTTGGCTTGTGTTCCCTTCTCCATCTTGAGGGCCGTACAAATCAAACTGTGACAAAGGTCAGTGAAGGGTCAGTGATAGTGGAATACTTGGCATGGGGCACTTACCCAGAGGCTCCCAAATCCTGCAGCCAACAGCACTGAGCAGGACATCAGATGTATCACAACAGGAACACTTCAATCATTCATGCTAGAGCTTTTTGAAAATGTGCTGGATTTCAGGTGAAGAGTCAACTGCCAGCCCAAAGTGGCCTTGTTTACATTTAAGATTAAGTGACAGATTCACAAAGATTAATTGTAAGCGCGAACCATCCTTGAATGTTATTGGTTTTTCTAATATCCAGCTGCCTAAGATTATCTAAATTAATAATGGCACAATAGTTTGCATGATGCAAGCTTTATCCTATTGAGCAAAGTCAAATAGGTGAACTGTCCTTATGTTAGTCTGGGAAAAAGCCACCCTTACTACCAGCAATCCCACCACTGCCAGATGCAGAACTGCCAGCAGAATTTGCTGTGGAGAAAGGGGAGGAGGAGATGAATGTGCCAACACATCTTTCACCACATTCTAGATGGGAAAAGAGAATGACTATAAAATAAACTAGATTTAATAGTCCATCATGTAAGTACTACAGTGGTACCTTGGGTTAAGAACTTAACTCATTCTGGAGGTCCGTTCTTAACCTGAAAGTGTTCTTAACCTGAGGTACCACTTTAGCTAATGGGGCCTCCCGCTGCCACCACACGATTTCTGTTCTCATCCTGAGGCAAAGTTCTTAACCCGGTGTATTATTTCTGGGTTAGCGGAGTCTGTAACCTGAAGCGTCTGTAACCCGAGGTACCACTGTACTGGATATGTATGGAAAGATCAGTAAACCTTTTTCAGACATCATAAGCATGTGCAGAGGGAGAGAGTGGGGTTTGGGTGATCAAATCTGAAAGAGCACCCACCCACATGTAACAACTGTGCAGACAGAGGGGCTCTCACCACATAATGGGGAAGGTTAAGAAATCAGGAGGAAGTTGGTCACACAGGCTTCCCCTGCCCTTCCCATGTGTTTGTGGCACCTGAAAAGGGCTATGTACAGTAACGTAAGCAAAAGACAGTATAACAGTCTAAATATGGTCCCTCTGTACTCAGTGAGAGGCGCCTCTGAAGGTGATTCACAAGCATGATAGCTTTGGTCTTTGTTAGAACAGAACCAGCTGTGACAAAGCATTCCAGGTTAGGCTGTGCACACCATAAATTTAAAGCATATGGCTTCCTACCAAAGAATTTTGGGAACTGTGGTTTACCCATCACAGAGCTACAATTCCCAGCCCATTTAACAAAACTGCAGTTCGCAGGATTCTTTGGGTAAAGTCATGCACTTTAATTAACCTTACTTAATTTGAAATACAGTATGAGTGTAAACTTGAGAGTCCACATTCTATCTGAATTGGGGGCAGGGGTGTAACAGAGGCTCCCCATGCCTTGAGTGATATACGAACATTGGAAGAGAGAAGGAAGAGAGAAAATAAAAAATGGGGGAGGAAAGATCCCTTGCAAGCATTTTAAAGAAGTGGGGAACGGTTTGTTCTGGCTGATATGTGCCTTGAGGGGAGGGGGCTGCTTTGATTTTATTTGTGTCTAGACAGTATATGGGATGTAGCTGCTGCAAGGATCCAAAGGAAATAATGCACAGTGGAGCGAAAGGAAAACTAGGGGAGAATGCCAGAGGGGTGCGGGGTCAGCCGGAGAAAACAAAACGGAAGAAGTGAACTCCCTGAGAAGTCAGCCAATCGAAACGCCTGCAAAGGGTTAACCTGCTCCCAAAAGAGGCCTTCTGAAGAAACAATAAGAAACCTATCAGCCTATTGGACAGCTCCTAGAGACCTAGGGCCAATGGGAAGAGCCTGCCAACGGAGAAGCCTTTTCGGTGAGCAGATCAAGAGGAGTGCAGGGCTAGAATGGAGCAGTCGCTCCGCGTGCGGTTTGTCAGGGCTGAGGTAGGAGCCCCGGCGAGGTTGCCTGGGATGAACGCTCCCTTGCACAGCCCCGAAATCTCCAGGATGGGCGAAATGCTGCTCCTGGAAGTCGAGCCATAAAGCGAGAGGCGCTGGGGAGCCATTGAGTTGCACCTCCTGCCTGCAGCCTGCAGTGTGTGACTGCTGTCACCAGGGCCATTCGTTTCTGCAGATATCGAGGCTGAAGTCTGGTCTATCATCTGTCTATCTATCTATCTATCTATCTATCATCTATCTATCCACACATACACACACACACGTGTCAGTATCATTTGACCCTGAGTGCTGTTAATCTTGCTGCCAAAGGACCACCTTTCCAAAGGGAGGACAACCTGCACCCTTTGTGCCATGGAACACAGGAGTGAGTGAAATCTTTGGGCATCCTGCAGGGTGGGCCCCATGAAGCAGGGATGCAAACTACCCAAACTACCCAAGCTAGGAAGACAAAAAGCTTGATTTCGTGCGCCTGTGTGCTCTGAATGGGTGGGTGGGTGGTTGCTCATGCAGTTCCTCCCTGCATCTTCATGGTGTGGCTATGACAGGAGATGGTTGCTAGATAAAAATTATCCAGACTCCTGTATGCCTCCCCCTCCCGCCATGTGGTTCAGATTTCATTACAGGGAAACAGGAAAACAGTGAATTCAGGAGGTCCTTGGGTGCTGGATGGAGGCAGTAGACTAGTAAGAATCCCATATACACCCTGGATTCAGGGATCTGCTGGAAAGTTGTCATTGGCGAATGTTGTATTTATGCCAAACACACACACACACACACACACACACACAGACACACACACTACTTCTTTTCCTACTGGAGGACCTTGGCCTCCCCAAGGCCCATCAGTCTGCCCCCTTTGAGTCATGCACCATGTGTGGGAGTGGGAACCAAGCCACACAGCTAATGTGGATCTACTAATCAGCTAACAAGATGTTGGAAATCTCTCTTGAGCAATTCCAAACTCTCCTCCAGGCCCATGAGATTGTACTTCTGAAAAGGTTGTCGGCTGGCCAGTTCATAATAATTAGCAAGTAGTCTAAGCCTGGCTTTTCCAAGTCACATTCCATTTCTTTTGCTTAAGGACATGTTTGCAAAAATCGCTCTCCTGGTCCAAATCTGACTTGCTCCACCAACAACAACAACAAAATGCTTAGTGTGGGGATGCACAAGTTTCACATTTGCGTTGCGAGCGTATAAGCCTGGAAATGCTTAAGAGTCAGAGGGCTAGGCTGCAATCCATAAATCACTTACTCTTTGGTAATGCAATCTCTAAGATTTCAACCAGCAACAATACTATATTAGGGTAATTGTTTTATGCATTCGGAGTAATCTGTTAAAAAAAGTAAATCACACTGAGGGTGGTCTACCATTACCTGCACTGCCCCAGAAGCATTTGGTCTGCAGCAGGAGGAGAACAGTAAAAAAAAAAGAGAGAGACTCCCAAATGCACCAATTTGTGCAAGCATGCATAAATGGCCATGCAACCAAAAGGGAATAGAACTGCTGGTCTAAACAATACCTTTCGACTTCAGATCTGATTCTAGTCATCCAGATTCACTGTATCCTCATAAGGTGAAGCTAGTACCAGCATAAAAACCCCACTAATACAGCAGCAGGACTCAGGGCACGCTTAAGATAAAGAAGTGAAGGATGGTGGGCAAGTCCAAAAGAAGCTCTTTTCCCATATCTTCTGAAAAGGGCAGCATGAGACTCCCCCTAGTGTGTGACTACTTAGGAGGGGGAGGTGGCCTGTGTGGATCAAGGCCTGGCTGAGAGCCAGAAAGGGTGGAGCCTCAGTCTGAGCCAGGCTGTTGCTGAAGCAGCAATTCTCTTGGGGCTCCCTAGCAAGTACTTGTTTGCAGCTAGCTGTCAGATTTTGTACCTCTGAGCCTCTCCAGTACTGGGTAAAGATGGTCACATCTGGCGGGAGGGGCGGGGAGTCTATGCAAAAAAAGTCAACATGCAGCAAAATGCCATATTAAACTCCATAAACTTTTTAAAAGAATTCTCAGTTTCTCAGATCCCTTAAAGGTTCATCCTGGCTATTTGTTTCTTTCTCTGAAAGAATTACAAATAATCATGGCACAGTATCTAGAAGGGCTTGTTGCTATAGCAAAGTAGTTAATAGAGAGGACTGGCTAATTCTGTTGGAAACACAGCTGGGTTCTGTTAAGTGTGACCAACTAAACTGTAATAAACTAAAGACTGTCAGGGAATTCCCTGTAAATTTACTTCAAGCCCTTCCTTTTTGAAGAAATTTCATATTAGATGCATGTGACAATGTTCCGCTTCTCTCTGACTCCCAGAATAAAAACCTCAATGCATGCAGTTCTTGTACTTCAATGTGTATCAGAGAACCCATGCTGCGGTTGTCACAGAGAAAGCCAACTGAGATTTCTTTCTTGGGGTTGTACCAAATATTTATCATTCTCTGGCTTTTGCTTTGGAATATGTATGTTCTTGGACAGAGAGCAAAGGCTTAAACTTCTAGACTCAGTTGATTCATCTGCATCAGTATATCAGATTTGTATACCACCAAGGCACCCAAGGTGGTTTCAAAATTTAAAACACGGGAACAAATAAATTATATAAAAACATACGAGTGACAGAGTCCTCTCAGGCCAATTGGAAGCTGATGGATTGTGTGCTCCTCAGCCAGGGGTTCCTCACTTCTGCCTTGCATGCATCATTACGCTTCCTATCATGTCTTCCTTAGCCTGCCCCTGTCAGTCATCACGCTGTGAGTTTACTGTCTGACTGCTGTGAATGAATCTAGGAGTTAGACCAGATTGTTAAGCGGCCAGGATATTAGTGCTCCCTTAATGGTCAGTGCTTGTGTTGTTACAGCCACACTTTCTGTTAAGAAATTAAAGGTGAATGCCAAGCATGGGTGGCGGATATCTCTTTATAGAAACTAATTGTTAGAGAGATGGTTTCTTGACCATCCTTAGAACAGGAAAGCCTTCAGCTAGGAAGATGGCTCCTCACTCCCCTACCTCGCAGAAAAGGGGTGGGGCATAAGAGACTGTATTACTTTAGCATTAGGTGGAAAGACAGTGGCTGGTGGCTAAAAGTATATTGGGGTGCACCTCTGGGATCTGACATGCAGCAGGGCATCTACTGTCTGCTTATAGTAGAGCTTTCCAAACTTTTCAAGTTGACGACACACTTTTTGGACATGCATCATTTCGTGACACAGTAATTCAGTTTTACTAGCAAATCGGAGTTTAAACTGGCCCCTTTCCAGCCCTGGGAGGAGTGTGGGGAGCATTCGAGCGACACACATACACACTGCAGCCGACACCCTAACATGTCGTGACACACAGTTGGGAAAGCTTTGGCTTATGGGAAGGATATTGTGTGATATGCCTTCACCTAAGTTTGACTTCTATTTGTGTAAATAAGCCCAGATATTACCAAAACAAAGGAATACTATGTTCCCCGCAATTGTCCCTAAGGAAGTCAAGTCTACGTAAGCTCCTGAACCTGAGAAATAGGGAGCAAATATGGTAGTAGAGTACTCAGCAACCCGTTACAGCTGTTAGATAATGCCACTACCTTCTAGGGCTATTATTAAATAATGTGTAATCTGGCTCTGCAGCAACACTCTGAAGCCCATAATGTTGCCAGAGCTGAGTTCTGATGTTGTCCCTAAACCAGTGCTATTTTTCGGAAAAAAGAGGTCTCGGAACTCACCATGAACACCTCCCTCATTCTTTTAGAATGGCAATGGCCCCCAACCTGGGAGGTGTCAGAACTGAATTCCAGGGAGTTCCAGCTGGAACAAAAGCCCTGCCATAAACTATCTCAAAATATAAAATACTCATTTGAGGAGCACAGTTTACAAAACTGTAAAGCACTATATTGATCCCAGAGGAAAATCTGTAATCCTTTCTTCATATAACCTGAGGTATAGGTTTAATGATAAAAAGGAATTATTTTATATCTCTGACTGATGGTTGTGACTTGAATCTTCAGGTAGCGGTTGTGGACTAGAAGATTTTGTGAGTAGTTCTGAATGCCAAGGACCAAGCTCATGTTAGAGGCAAGCAAACTGTGACAGTCCTTGAAAAGCCCACTTTTTGAGAGGTTCACTGAGAACAAGCCTTTCCTTGCTTCATATCCTCTCAGATTCACTGGGAAAGAGGGCAATTTGGATAAGGGAAATGGCAGAGAGGAAAGAGGTTGTTTTCCACCACTACTTCTCAATAGGCCCCTCTCAAAGCAACTTTCCAAGCTTAAAAAAAGAAAAGACATTTATGTCAGGATCTAGTTACACACATTTTGAGCAGATAACATACAGTTTGGCCCTTAGAGACCAAAGAAACAGCTCATTTGGGTTTTCCAGCTCTATCTGTGGTAGACAAAGACTAGCCTGTGTCCACACTGGAAAAAGAAACTGACAGGATTCATAATGATGTCAAGATCACACAGACACACAACATAAACCACATCAAAAGGTTGTGGCCAGAATAACCAAGTCATGAAAAAGAAGCACAACATTTTAATCCCTATCATTCATGGGGAAGGAATGCTGAAAGACCCCAATAACTTTTTTTAACCTTTATGTGTGGATGGGTTTTTGTTGTTGTTTGCTTTGCTTCCCTCCAGATCTTAGCACTCATTTCCCTCAATGGGAATTCACGTCTTCATACAGGTATAGAAACCATACCTGCTAGTATAGCCCTGGCAGGACTTAATTCTACCACAGCCTTGTAATCTGTCTTGCTCTGCATGTTTCTCTAACTGCAACTGGCCTTTGGACAGGCTTCCAAACATTGGAAGTACTTTTATAGCTAGGAAGAGATTATATGGAAGGAGGCCAAACTTCAAAGAATAGTCAGGCTCTGCTGAGGATGAACTTTTCAAAGTCTGAAGCACAGAATGCAGAATACTCGGAAGGACTTCAGGGTTCATTGTCTGGGACATTTGAATTTGCGAGGGGGTGAGTGTTGCACTGCAAGCCAGTGGGGCCAAATAAGAAGTGACATTAATTGCGCAAATAGAATTGACATCCCATTTAAACATAAAGACCCATAAGAAGGGGAACAGAGAAACTGAAGGTGGCATCTGACGGAGTGAGAAGACAGCTCATCTGGTCACTGTCTTCCCCACTATGGTGAGATGTAGTTCCAAGTAAATTAATTATGTCTAATTCTACATTTCTACATATAAATCAGGGATGGGGACACTGTGGCTCTCCATATATCATTTGATTCCATCTTCCATCTGCCCCAGCCAGGATGACCAATGGCCAATGTTGATGGGAACTGAAGTCCAACAACATCTGGAGGGCCACAGGTTCCCCAATCCTGATTTGTATGCATAGATGTAGAAGAAGGGCCTCTCTCTTGTAACCACCAGCCTCCCCTCAGATGGTGGGGGCAACTACAGGAGACCTTCCACTGAATATCTTAAATATGCAGATAGGTACATATTGAGACAGATAGTTACTTATGATAGCAATGCTCACCTTGATAGGTAGCACCATTTCTGCAACCACTTTGGGTGGCTAGGAGGTTAAAATATCTATCTGCAGACTTGAACAAGTTCTAGTAGGGGGAGGGGACAGGCTGGGAAACTGATACCAAATACTATTGGAGAAAAAAAAGCTCCTTTGCTGGCATTGTGCCCAAGGTTTGCGATCAGTTCCAAGAATTGTTTTCAATTTGGACCACAAGTGAATAACTAGAGGAATGTAACAGCATTTTCCTTATTATAAAACCACAGATTTAAGTTTTGTTTTTGTTTTTTAAATGGCAGTGAATGTCTGTGCACATGGCTTGCCACAAGTATCTATGGCCAATAATTCAGAATGAGCCACAAAACTTGATATACACAAATAACAGAACATCTGTACAAAATGTATTTCATTATTTTCTGTTGCTGAAGGTTAAGCAACCCCCTCCCATTTCACAGTACCAGTTGGCAGGCATTAGAAGAAAGACTGACTTGAGAATGATTGAAAACGGGATCTAATTCATCATGGCATTTCTGATACCATAATAAGGTTACCAGACGTCCCCGTTTCCCGGGGACAATCCCCGGATTTACAAATCAGTCCCCATACAAAATCCATTGAAGTTAAAAAGTGTCCCCGGATTCATTGGAAAAAAATCTGGTAACTACCACAAGAACACAGAGCACCATTCTATACATGTTCAGAGGCACTTAGCCCTGGTAGATTGGTATAGGGTTGCATCATTAATTATCTATAGTTGTCTATATCAGTATTCCAAGGGGCTAAACTACATCTAATCCTTGTAGTTTGGTTTGAGCAGGAGTCCACAAAAGATTCATTTAGTCCAATGTCTTGATTCAAATACAGACCAGCTGGATAGGTGAAGGGCTTTAGCTCGGTAGTAGAAGACCTGCCTTTCTTAATCATCCCTAACATTAAATATAATGCCATTTTCACAGCTGCTGCACATTTGATTTATGTTCTCGTTGCACTATCCCCCCTGGTCACAATATCTCTTTCCTGGATAGTCACAGTGAGTTCACATCCTATCAACATATATGTTCAGCTCAGGAGGGGAGGTTTGTCTCTCAAAATGTATCACTTGCCCTCTTGCCCATTCAGATTTGGAGAAGTCTTTTGAAAGCTCTTGACAGTTTGCTTGGGTGTTCAACCAACCATGCTGAATTATTTGTAACCCTCCACAAACTAGATTTTTCTCCCTGCTCACCATAGATCTGGTTTATGGATATTTTAAATATATCACTGGCCTAGTACAGACACTTGGTGGGCCCAGCTGCCTACACCTCCCCATTGTGAGAACTGTCAGTTTATTTGTACTCTGCTTCCTGCTGTTTAGCAGCTATGTTTGCTCAGGAGTCTTCAGCTCAAACCTATATTACCAAAGCACTCCTATCTGTGCATTTGTTGACACTCTCAAATTATACAAAGAAAACAGCTTGGCAGGACTGAGGATTACAACCATTGGGTAATACTGCTGTATTTGGGTTTAACTGACTTTTTTTTTTTACCCAGTGTATCTTCCAAAATTAACCCCTGGCTTTGCTAAAATTAAAGCCTGCCACATTTCTATTTACTCCTGCTCCCTGGCAGCCCAGGAACCTATGGTTTCTTATACGGTGTGGAACAGATACAGGCTTTGTTTTCGCAAAGAAATGTGGGCAACAGCCATCTTTCCCTTTCCATCCCAGAATCCCAAGTATATAACCTGACATCTCAGCACCTGGGACTTCACTGGGAGGGATTTCACCTTTAATCTCTGATTTAGGGCTTGTCCACCCAGAAAGTTTAATTTGTGTTTGCAGTTGTTTGAGGTCTCATTTAATTTGCATTGTCCACATGAAATAACATGACCTTCAAACAACACCAATCTCAATTATTTCCTCCCACAAATTTGGGATAATTCAATAAATTGGGGTAAATCGGGTTCTAGACCACTTCACTCAGGGTTGCAGACTATTTTTTGGGAGGTGTTTTGGGATGGGTGAATCAATCAGTCATTACTTTCTGCTATTCCCCTCTCCATGCCCACTATTTCCTCAATGCTTTGATTTCTTTTCTGGCAGGGTTTGCAACTATTTCCAGCACACTCCTGAACAAAGGTGTTCTTCTCTTTTCTCTTGAGATTTCAGGTTTTCACAAAACCAGAAAACAGCACTAGCAAATTGCCTGACTGTATGCTTTTATGCACTTCCTCCATAAGGAGTTTTTTTTTAAAAGAAAACAAGGTACACACAAAGCTAACTGCACACATTGCCTATCAGTACTTAATCATAAAAGAATCAATAGATTAGAAAGGTGCAAACACAAAAGGGAACATCTACTGGTATGAATGGGGAAATTGTTCTTCACATACACATTCAAAGGTGTGTAGGTATGGACTCCTCTAGTCTTACTTGAATGGGGGAAATTATGAATTAACAGCTAAATAATGCTCAAATGTGCACAGGACCTTAGACACAATTTTAAGTCAGACCTCATGGCTACAATATTCAGCTCAATTTTTCTACTTTTTGGTTCACCATTTTGTTTGTTTTCCTTCTTTTGTGTACCATCTTGCCTGATGGAGAGTTCTGGAGAACTCACTTGGAACAAGCACCAGCTCATCTTCCTTCCCAAGCTTGGTGGTGGCAGCACTGCTAGGGGAAATGGGGACATTCTGAGATTGAATCAGAAGCTGGGATGGCTTTTGTAATTCTAGGATTGTCCTTGGAAAATCGGGACACTTGGGGGGTATGCAGACACCTTCCCTAAATTTGCGCTGGAGGGTCGGGAGCACAGCATGCAGGGGGTGGTGACAGGAGATTGTTCCATTTGGCAAGCAGAAATCCTTGCATTGATAGAACGATCGTATTACCACAATGTTGAATTCTACCCAGCGACTTTATAAAATTTGGTAATTAGGCCTGGAAATATTTCTTCCCCTTTAGCTCTGTTTGAGAGAGGACTTTGTCTTCTCTGAGAAAAATCTGATTTAGGTGGTGAGTATCAGTCCAATACCTTCTGAAGCAAAAACACATGCAAAAGAAGAAGAAGAAGAAGAAGAAGAAGAAGAAGAAGTTGTTACTTTTCTACTGTCTCTCCCCTCCCAGGAGGATTCTTTCATTGCTTTGTCCTCCCTGGCAATTTTCCTGCTTCTGATATATTAAAATAAATTTTTAGTGTTTGTGTTAAAGTTGTTACAATCTGCCCCTCAAGTTCTTTTTACCTTATTCTCAACTTACATTTGTTTTTGCCAGAGTAGATGCTTCTTTTTTATTTGCTTCACACGGGCAAGACTTCAGCTTTTAAAAGAAATATTTTGTGCTTTTAACAGCTCAACTTTGCCTGTTAACCATGAAGACATCCTCTTGGGTTTCTCTGTACCTTTCCTAGTCGGTGGTATTTATTTTCCCTCAGTTTCTATTATAGTTGTTTTCAATAGCATCCAAGCTTCCTGAAGAGACTAGACCCTGCTCCCTGTCCCCCGCTTTTACATTCCTTTAAAAAGACCTGCTCATTATTTTATTTTATTTTATAAATTTCCTCTGTTGAAATTAAATGTGATTCTTTTGGACTTTTTGAACAATTTTCCACTTCCATATATACTAAATACCCAAGAGGTTTCCCACCATATCACACCTGGAGGCCACTCAAGATTGATGCGATCCTAACCATGTCTTCTCAGAAGTCCAATTGCATTCAATGGGGCTTATTCCCAGGTAAGTGGGATTAGGGGAGCAGTCTAAATTTAGTTTAATAATTTAATAATAAATAAAATAATCAAAGGACCATTTCCCCTCTAGTTGGCTCTACGACTAATTGTTATCAGTCAATGCTTCTCCTTTGGCTATTTTCCCAATTTCTTTTTCAATATCATCATCACGGTTGGGAGGGGAGCAACAGTATGCCCCCACCATTAAGATTTCTTTTGGAGCTTAGTATTCCTGTTCACAATAATTCTGTGGAAGAGTTAGTACTCACGTTGGTCCTTAACTCTAGTTTAGAGGTGGGGAAGTATTAGCCTTCCAGATGCTGCTGAACTACCATTCCCATAAAATCCAGTAAGCATGGCCAATGGCCAAGGATGATGGGAGTTGTAGTTCAGCTCATCTGGAGGGCCAGAGGTTCCCTACACCTGCCCTGGGCTTATTCCTGGGTTATGTATACACCACCCATTTAAAGCACTTTAACAGATGTGGTCTCCCCCAAAGAATCCTGAGAATTGTAATTTGTTCAGAGTGCTCAACAAATTACAATTTGTAATTTGGGGACCCTTCTATGAGGGGTGTGCAAAGTTCTGAATGCTAGCAGAATCAGTAAAGTTATGGAGATTGGCTGCCGCAGGGGAGGCCCGAGATTGCGACACACATCCCAGTGCCTTACTATAAGAATTCCTGTACTAATTCCAGAAGCCAAGCCAATCTTTATGCTAATTCCAAAATTCCAAGGCAAGGCTGTGGAATTGGAATGCTTAGTATTAAAAGAAAAAGTAAGTAGGCATATAACCCGGTGGAACATGTTGTTAATGCATACAGCACGCTATCCATTGATATAAAAGGACATGTTAGCAGTGGATGCATAAAATATTCCAAAACGATTCTGAGGCAGTGTTGTTTAATACATCAAAGGGGTCATTAAGTCCAATCAACAGGAAGCCAATCAGCTGATCTGACAAGCCAATCAGGACTCACCTGACCTTCCATATAGAATCCTAAGAACTCAGACTGATAAGCTTACCATTAAGAGAAGTTGCTAAACTGACTTGCCTTAACCTCACCTAGAAATTTGTCTGCCTCTTCCAGAACCACCTGCCTGCTCCGGAGCCCAACCACTGGCCTGTCTTTGGCCTTGTAATTTGGCCCTTTGGATTTTGAAGTGCCTGTGCTGGAATCATACATGTACAGCTTAAGATTCTCACACATGAAGCCACTTATGTATACAAATTCCACAACACTGTGTGCTCATGCTAATTTCTTCTGGGCAGTAGCTCTTGGGGGTAACTCCCCTGAGTTGGCATGGAACTCTCTTGGAATGGCTCGAAATCTGTTTTTGGTCTCTTCTTTTTCCTTCTAAAACCTGCCAAACATCACATCATTTTGGAGCCAAGTCCTATTGCTCTAAATTTAAACCACCACTGCCAGCAGCATAGGCTCCAACCCAGGTTGTATCACCTCACTAACATTAGAACTGTGGCTCAATTTGTCTTCAGTGGCTTCAACTTCCACCCAAAATGGTGCTCTATTTTTTGCAGACTACGATAATTATTTGCTCATTTACCACCAGCTGAATCCTATGTTGATAAAGAATGCTAGGGCCCCCTTTTGTACAGTTTGCCAAAATTTCTCTTCCAGCATCAGAGGTTCTACCCTTACTCTTTTATCGCACTGAGCTTTCTGTTAATTCTGAGGCCACTCCATGTGAGCTTTCATTCTGATTTCCATCCTCTTAGGATGTTCTTACACCCAGTCAAAATGATCCAAAATGGCTTCTTCCTTACTGATCCCCAATACTAAATCCATAAGAAAGAATACTGAGTGATCTTCTGTGGGATTCTTCAATAACCTGAAGACAAAGCCAAGAACAATTCCCCACACTGTGTAGGCGCTGGGGCCCCGAAGATCACACTTGTGGAAAACAAAACAAGATTGCAGTCGATCAGGTGACACAACTGATGGCAACCTTTCTTTTATAAAGAAAGGGATAGTGCTGATTTCTCAAAATGTCCCAAGATAAGGAAGACCTACTATATACGATCAACCCAGATGCAAAATCCCTTTTCATCTAAATCATCTTAAAGCCAAGCTGGAAAAATCTTCAAGACTACAAAAGAGTTGCTTTCAGCAGGATGGTGATGTAATTAGCAGACTGGGCAGGATCTCACCAGCTGCTAGACTGCTCATGGTTTCAGTGATGTGATATGTCTAGGCACCATGGCAGGCAAGGAGCTCTCTGGGAGCTTGTTGGCAGAAGGTGTACCTCTATGCCTTCAGGCATCACGGGTGTTTTCCAAGCGCTTTCGCTCAGAATGTAGAATTCTGACCTGATGCCAGTAACCAATGGAAAGCTGTGCCCTGCAATCAGAGAGGTGATTAACGTTCAACTCTTAGCTTTAAAAATGACATTTTTTGCCGTCACATTCAAGTTGAACAATAAGAAGTGAAGAAACCAGGGAAAGTGAAGGTTCTTCTTTGCGCCAAAGAAGATTTGAAGCCTGCAGGCAGGTCTGCTGTTGAGTGTGGGTTCAGCCCACTGGCAGGGCTCAACCAAAATGAAGCTCAGCAGGAAAAATATTTTGAAAACCTGCAGTCAGTAGAGGGATGGGGTGGGAAGCTATTGAAGCCAGCTCTGTTAAAGGTAAAGGTAAAGGGACCCCTGACCATTAGGTCCAGTCATGACTGACTCTGGGGTTGCGGCGCTCATCTCGCTTTATTGGCCAGCTCTGTTACTGTCAACAAATTCAACAAGAAAAGAATTCAGATCAGAATCCCCTATAATCAGCTGGGGGTGTTACTTTTACAAGCCACCTATTTCTGTTTCAATATTTCTCAACACGATCAAGTGTAAATAGTAGTTCCACCAGGCCACTCTTGACAGAAAAAAGCACATATATCAACAGGTATATGTTTTTGTGTGTTTTTTTACTACTCTTATAGCATCATTCAATGAGAACTGCAGAAACACTTTCTTGACTTTTTTTCTTTTCAAAACAAACCAATTTCATTATAAATTGTCAGAAAACTGTCACAAACACAACAGCTTGAAATCAAATAGTCCTTGGTTAATTTAAATTTGCTAAAAAGGAGATGCAGTCACCGGCAAAGTAAGAAATCAACAGCATGTATTGTCAACACTGCAGCAAATATCCTTCATGCCACACTGAAATCAACCTTTCACAATGTCCATTGATGATAATTTGTTCAATTTTGAGTTCACTGGCCTTAGCAAATGTTTCAGTTCCCTATATAAATCTGCCCCCACTTTAATCATTGGAAGGCAGCCCTGTTTAGGGAAGCTTTTAATGTTTAATAGACTATTGCATTTTAATATTTTGTTGGAAGCCACCCAGAGTGGCTGGAGAAACCCATCCAGATGGGTGGGGTATAAATAAATTATTATTATTATTATTATTATTATTATTATTATTATTACTATCTGCTGCGTATTTTCCAGACAAAGCCAAGTACCTTTTAGCAGAGCTGAGCCCAACCTACTCACCTATTTTTGGCAGAGCAAAAAATATTCACATTCATTGATATCCATGTGTAGCCACTGCTAATGCCATTCACTCTGTGGCCACTGATTGAGTGTGCTGACCCATGTGACCAAGCAGAGAAGAAAAAAGAAGAAAATGCAAGGGCTTTTTCTTTCTTTTTAGAAAAAAAGTATTGTTATAGGTCGGGGGAGGAGCAAGTCCAGCCAAACCGCTAGAGTCAGTAAAGGGTTAGAATCTGAACAAACTTGTAAATTCCTGAATTTACCAAGGGCTAGGAATAACACCAGTTCATCTCCTAATGAGACCAGCCTGGCGATGGCTTATTGGGGGTGGGCTCTTGAAGGAACAATGGTGCTGATGGGAAACAAAACATGACTTGGGTGTGATTGCACCCATTTTGGGGCATAGGTTTGGCTGCCTCTCAAGATATCACTGCCAAATTCATCAAGAGGGTTCCCGAGGTGGGGGTAATGGACTTTGTCACTGTCCATAAAGGTACCAAAAGTTTGTAGCAACCTTTTGTATGGGACCATATAGCAGACTGACTGTCAAATGGATTGTCCCTGAAATGGTACAGTCCTTTCACAGGATGGTGGCATCTCAGGATGCATATTAGGAATGGCTTCTTTGAAAGGACTACCAAGTTAGGATCTTTCCAAATCAATAGCCTACAAGCCAGGGGAAAAAACCCCTCAGCCTTCTTCCTAACATGTAAAATGAGACTAGAGAACTTAAGGCTCTCTAGTTGTTGTTCAGCAACAGCTCACATAATCCCTGATCATTGGCCATGCTAACTTTGGTTAACAGGAGTTGGAATTCAACATCTTCCGGGTCACAGGTTCCTCGCTCCTGATGTAAAAGCTGCCCTATGCAGGAACATATTGACATAGGGATACTTCCAAACAAGCATTCTGTAATGGTTTAATCCAATCAGAGGACTGCACCATATCAAAACTATATGCTTGAGTAGGCTCTGACAGCTGTTTCAAAGCTACTTGAACATATTTTCTTTAATCTCCCAGCAATAAGTAGAAACTCGCGCGCGCACGCGCTCTCTCTCTCACACACACGAAGCATACAACCTCTGAAATGAAGCCAAAGATCCATTTGTGTCCCTGGAAAAATGTTAACTGTCTGCATGCAACAATATTCTAGTCTGCACACCTATATGAATATTCAAGCCATTTTGTCCCCCTGTTATACAGTGCTTATACAACATAAACAGAAGTTGGACCAAGTTCTATGGGTCCACAGTGCTGACCTTCCACAACCCATAGCCAGAACTTGAGTCTGGTCAAGTCATTTCCTCACCCACCTCCTTTACACGTAAGTCTTGGCTTCTCTCCCTCAAGCCTGCTACTGGTCATCCCAGGCCTATCAACAGTTTTGTTGTTTCCTTCTGGGCCTAGCTCCATCTGTGTCTACTGCTAAGTAAGTGCCACTGTGTTTAATGGGGCTTACCCTCCCAAGTAAGCATGCACAGGATCACCTCAATGCTCTTCTGTTTTGCCCCACATCCAATCAATGCTCCTGCATCTTTCCTTCTCTCTGATGCTCCAAAATATGTCTGCATTCTTCTGATGTTTTGCTTCAGGTAAAGGTAAAGGTAAAGGTAAAGGACCCCTGGATGGTTAAGTCCAGTCAAAGGTGACTATGGGGTTGCAGCGTTCATCTCGCTTTCAGGCCGAGGGAGCCGGCGTTTGTCCACAGACAGGTTTCCCGGTCATGTGGCCAGCATGACTAAACTGCTTCTGGCGCAACGGAACACCGTGACGGAAACCAGAGTGCACAGAAACACCATTTACCTTCCCGTCGCAGCAGTATCTATTTATCTACTTGCACTGGTGTGCTTTCGAACTGCTAGGTTGGCAGGAGCTGGGACAGAGCAACGGGAGCTCACCCCATTGCGGGGATTCAAATCACTGACCTTCTGATCAGCAAGCCCAAGAGGCTCAGTGGTTTAAACCACAGCGCCACCCGCGTCCTTTCAATTGACTGCTTATCTTGGGGTTGTTCTCTGCAGGGTTTGAATGGAGTTTTGGAAATGGTCTGACTTAGACAATAGGAGCTATTGCTTTGATCAAGACCTAGATGGAAAGTTATCTCCAAGGAGTAGTTGACACACCAATTTTGTGAGGTTTGACTCTTGGTCTCATTCGCATACCCTCCAGCATTTCTCCGGTGAAAATAGGGACATCCTATTCTATTATTACTACTACTACTACTACCACTACTACTAATGCCCCATCCTTTCAACTGGGTTGCCGCAGGCACTCTGGGCGGTTTCCAACATAATAAAACATTAAAATTTTTTAAAAACCTTCCCTATACAGGGCTGCCTTCATATGTCTTCTAAAAGTTGTATAGCTACTTATCTCCTTGGCTTGGGACATCACATAACTCCATACACACCAACATTTCTCCAATGAAAATAGGGACGTCCTAAGGAAAAGTGGGACATTCCAGGATCAAATCAGAAACTGGGGTGGCTTCTGTGAATCTAGGACTGCCCCTGAAAAATGTGGACACTTGGAGGATCTGCATTAGAATGTCCTCCCCATCTATTCTAACTTGCTTCTGAATTTTCCTGAGATTACATTTTGGAGTTTCAGACTTGCTATTATTATCGTTACTATTCCTGGCTCTTTTACTTACAGGTGTGGTTCTCCCCACTCTCTCTGGCCTAGCTATGGAAGGACCAGGCTGTGTAACCAAAGCAATGACTCAAAGGATCTGGCTCATGTTCAGCAGAAACATGTTTTAGCCAGAAGGATTCTTAAAGAGGCCTTTCTAAGGGCTTGTTGGCTTGTATCTGACTGTATATTCTGGGACTATCACCCCGTCCCTCATTATTGGCTGGTGGGGCAAGAGGCTCACCATTCCTCTGCTGATTTATAGAATACAGTGGTGCCTCGCAAGACGAAATTAATCCGTTCCGCGAGTCTCTTCGTCTAGCGGTTTTTTCGTCTTGCGAAGCAACCCTATTAGCGGCTTAGCGGATTAGCGCTATTAGCGGTTTAGCGGCTTCGAAAAAGGGGGGGGAGCGGGGAAAAAATCTCAAGACTCGCAAGACATTTTCGTCTTGCGAAGCAAGCCCATAGGGAAATTCGTCCTGTGAAGCGCATTGAAAAACGGAAAACCCTTTCGTCTAGCGGGTTTTCCGTCTTGCGAGGCATTCGTCTTGCGGGGCACCACTGTACCAGGGAAAGCCAAAGAAAAGGGTCATTCTGTGCAAACTCTGGTTATTCTCTCAGAGAATACCTTCTTGGTATTCTCTACAGAGAAGGCCTTCTTGGTAGTGGCACCCTCCCTGTGGAACGCCCTCCCTTCAGATGTCAAGGAGATAAAGAACTACATAATGTTTAGAAGACGTCTGAAGGCAGCGCTATAACAGGAAGTTTTTAATGTTTGATGTTTTATATAGGCTGTAAGCCACCCAGAGTGGCTGGGGAAACCCAGGCAGATGGGTGGGGTGGTATTATTATTATTATTATTATTATTATTATTCACCCCCAACTCTGCCAATAGAAAAGTTTCTCCTCCTGTTCCAGGTTGACAGTCCTTTACTCCTAGTCCAGATGAAGATGTGAGCTACACAAGCATGCACAAGGGGCAGATTTACCAGGCGATGCAAGGACAGGGATCATTCTCAATATGTGTGTGCATGTGGGAGAATATTGCCATCTTACTGGCAGATAAGAAAAGGTCGCACACCTCTTCCAGCAGGAATTAGACGGAAACAGACTATCTGTGTATCTGTACTTTAGAGGAGAAACCACAGTTTGCACACTGTACAAGCAGCTGGCTTGAAGCCTGACCAAGCCATGTCCAGCTGTTCTGCATCCTGGCTGGAGAGCATCCTTTCACTGAAGTGATACAAAACATAAGCAGCTACTAAGGAAGAGCCAGCAAATCTCCACATATCTCAGCAGGAAATCAAAACACCCGCTCCCCCAACATGCACCAGATGCAGGGCCATCCCAAGGCAAGAGGAGGGGTAGAGGGAAAATCAGAGCTGGACTGGGGGGATTACATCATGCCATGGATCAACCCATAAGCTTGTCCAGCTGAGGCTGTGCCAGGAGGTCCAGATGACTCAGAAGTGTGCGGCATGCATCTCCAGCTCTGTTCTCTCTTTCTTCCCTAGTCGCTCTCTTTTTGAACTAGTCCCTTTCTTTTCTTGCTTACCCTTCCCTCAGAAACACATGGAGTGGAGTGGATCAAGTCACTGAGGTGTCTGTGTGAGTGAACACTGGTCTGGGACCTGCAAGGCCTGTGTCCTCAGGCAATGACCACAGCGAGGACAATTCCTCATTTGCCATATCTGAGCCCGCTGAAGTCAAAAGGAATTTGTGTTCTGAGGTATAGGTGGGTACCCACAAGGCAAGACACAGTGATAACAGCAAGAACCTTTATTGAACTAACAGAACTGGACAACAGGGGCAAAGCAACTGCTTATATACATTTCTGAAGGCCTGGGCCACTCCCACTCCCAACGTGAGTGGCTGTCTAAACTTCCAAGCTGCGAATCATGACTCAGAGTTTAAGGGCCAATGGCAGAGGCCCAAATTCTGAAATGTTCTGTGATTGGATATCATGTATCGAATAAAAACACTGGGGCTCAGAATCCTTAGTCCAGACTCCAGCTCAGGCAAACACAGACCACTGAATACATAACATGTTCCATTCTATGAAAGGCAGGCTTCACTGGAGCCACCTAGAACCTACTTAAAGCAGAGGCTTTTGGTACTATTTCTTGATGGGGCAGCTCCCTGATAGAATCACCATTCTCTTTTCTTAACTAAAATACAGCTCCCTTAACTAAAATATAGCACAGCCACATAGAGGGAACGTGTGACATGGAACTGATGTCTTGCCACAATAGCACCACCAGCAAACTAGAAATCCAGGGGTTTGCCCTGGGTACAAAACCCCCCCCTTGTAGCTCTGCTTATCATGCTTTGTGACACAAAGTTTATGTTCTAGATTTGATTCCTGCTGCTAGACTCAACACATCCCAAGTTCTAGCAACAGCACTGAAAGGACATTCCAAAAAACAACTTGGTTCTCTCAGTTGTGGTTCAGTGAAGTTACTGATATATATATATATATATATATATATATATATATACTCTGTGCAGTGTTAGAAATGAGCCAGGCACCAGGCACGTTTTGCTCCTACTGCCTTGGGTCCAACTGCGACTACATGAAGATTTATGGGTGCTAGGCTGGCGGCCACAGTTTAAAAACCTCTGCCTTAGTCCATAGTTAATACCATTTCCACTGTGTGTGTTTCTCCTTCTTGCCAAGCGGTAGCAAGATTCTGGGGGGTTCCAGGCACACACTCAGGGTCGTGTTTCCATTGGGAAGTTGAGGCACAGTGGAGACTGGTGACTTTGAGAAATATGATTTATTTTACACAAATTTATACCTAAAGCCTTCAATGGAGGGGACACAGAACATTATGTTGCAAGAGTGTCCCTCATGGCTCCTCCTATAGCTTCAGTAAGCTTGGGTCCAAATCAGCAGCCAGTCATGGCCTCTGGTTTCTCAGTGCAGCCTCCTCTAGCCAGCATTGAATGGTGCTCTCCCCCACTGCCTCCTTTTTGTTCCCAGAACACCTTGCCAAAAAACCTCCTCACCTTCTGCCTGCTTGCCCCCCTTCTTCAGACCTGTTTTTTAAAAGGAAACAATTTTCCTGTGTGACATCATGCCTCCTGTAACCTCCCTCTCCAAACTGTGCTATTTCTTCTGCTAACTAACACACAGCTAGGGCGGAAGGACAGCATCTGCCTGGTCAATTGCTCTTTAATGGACCAGCACTTAATTCTCCTTGTGTTCTTAATGGCATCGCTATCAGTGATCTCCTGAACAGGAGAACTGTTTCGGCCTGTATTTTAAAGCTAGCATCTGGCATATTCCCTTCATCCTACAAAAACCCACTAAATTCTACCCCTTTATTAACTTCTAACGTTCACTGACTCTAGCAATTATGGGTGCCCTTGCACCCCCGCACTCTGTTACTCCAGATCTGTAACAATATATGTAGGTATCTCAGACTATTTATGGGAATTCTTTTTTTTTTAAAAGCAATTTATTGGGTTTTACAATAAAAATAACATATTAAACAATATAACCTTTGTCTTGACATAATTTCACATTTTCTTTGGACTTCCTCACATCTCCCGCTCCCACTTTCATCGTTATAACATTTTGTCAGCAATTTATCATCTTATTTAAATTCTTATATCGCTTCTATATTTCATAACCTTATAATTTTCAAAGGGAATTAAATTTTCACAGTCTTACTTATTTTCATAGAAAACTTCTAAATTTAGTGGTGCTCAGTTGTTTTGGTCTAGCATCTTATTTAGCATTCACTCAAATTGCAATATTTTTGTAAATAGTTCTTAAATTTCTTCCAATCCTCCTCAATCCTTTCTTCTCCCAGGTCACGGATTCTGCCAGTCATTTCAGCCAGTTCCATGTAGTCTATCAGTTGCATCTGCCATTCTTCCAGTGTGGGTAGATCTTGAGTTTTCCAATGTTTTGCAAGAAGTATCCTTGCTGCTGTTGTTGCATACATAAAAAATGTCTGATCCTTCCGTGCCACCCCTTGGCCGACAATACCCAAAAGGAAAGCCTCTGGTTTCTTAGTGAAGGTATATTTAAATACCTTTTTCAATTCGTTATAAATCATCTCCCAGAACGCCTTCACTTTAGGGCAAGTCCACCAGAGGTGGAAGAACGTTCCCTCAGACTCTTTACATTTCCAACACTTATTATCAGACAGGTGGTAAATTTTTGCAAGTTTGACTGGGGTCATATACCATCTATAAATCATTTTCATTACATTTTCTTTCAGAGCGTTACATGCAGTAAACTTCAATCCATTACTCCACAACCTTTCCCAGTCCTCAAACATAATATTATACCCAATATCCTGTGCCCACCTTATCATAGCCGATTTAACCGTTTCATCTTGTGTATTCCATTCCAGCAGCAAGTTATACATCCTTGAAAGTACCTTAATCTTTGGTTCTAACAATTCTGTTTCTAGTTTCGATTTCTCCACCTGGAACCCTAATTTCTTATCATTTTTAAAAACTTCTTTAATCTGAGCGTAATGTAACCAATCTCGCACTTTATCTTTCATTTTCTCCAAACTCTGCAATTTCCAATTGTCTCCATCCTTTTCTAATATTTCCCAATATTTTGGCCATTTAGCCTCCATATTGGGTCTTTTTCGGGCCTTAGCTTCCAAAGGTGAAAGCCACCTTGGTGTTTTATTTTCCAGCAAGTCTTTATATTTTGTCCAGACATTAAACAGTGATTTTCTGACAATATGGTTCTTGAAGGCCTTATTTGCTTTAACTTTGTCATACCATAAATATGCATGCCATCCAAAAACATTGTTAAACCCTTCCAGATCTAACACATCAGTGTCTTCAAGAAGTAGCCAGTCTTTTAGCCAGCAAAACGCTGCGGCTTCATAATACAACTTTAAGTCTGGCAGGGCAAGCCCCCTCTTTGTTTTGCATCAGTTAATATCTTAAACTTAATTCTGGGCTTTTTGCCCTGCCAGACAAACTTAGAAATGTCTCTCTGCCACTTCTGAAAGCACTCCATTTGTCCAAAACCTGAAGTGTCTGAAATAAAAACAACATCCTTGGCAATACATTCATCTTAATAGCAGCAATTCGGCCTAACAAAGAAAGTTTCAATTTTGACCAACTATCTAAGTCTCTTTTAATTTCTGTCCAGCATTTTTCATAATTGTCCTTAAATAGACTTAGATTTTTGCTGTTATGTTTACCCCTAGGTATTTTACTTTTTTAACCACATTGAGTTCCGTCTCATTCTGAAACCGTTCTGACTCTGTATCAGTCAAATTTTTCCCCAAAACCTTAGTTTTCTGTTTATTTAATTTAAATCCAGCCACCCGACCAAAATCATTAATCAATTGTAATACTCTTTTCGTACTGGGAATTCAAGACTATGACCTGTGCCATTGCATTGAAAAGGAGCTTTCCCAAGAGAATCAAGTATATTAAGCTGCAATTCTATGCACTATTACTTTGAGAGTAAATCCCATTGAACTCTGAGTGACATACTTCTGAGTAAAAATACTTAGGACGGAGCTGTACATTTCTTATCCATCCATTTCTCCCAAGACCCAGAAGGATCAAAATGCCAACTATCTGTGGTTGCTCTCAGGACCAAGGCCAGAGCTTCAAGAAGGAAGTTGTCATGATAATAGAAGCAAAGAACAGGCACCTAAGTAAGAGCCTTGTGGCTGTATCTCCTTCTTTCAGACTCACTCTCTTGCCACATGGAGCATAGCAAATATGATCATCAGCAGAAAGACGGTTGCTTGTTTGCTTAGAGATTATAGGGAAAGCAAGCTCTAAAGTCTAAAGAATCAGTAACCACTGCTGCTTACCTGCTTACAAAGGGAACTGTCACAACCATCTCTCTGAAGATGAAGGCACACACAAAACTGACACATGCATACTGTGTTCAATTGAACATTTAAGAGGGGTGAATCCCTCCTCTACCCCACATCAATATCAAATGAAAATGATTTCCTGTGCAAGATCTATTCTACCCAGTACCAGTTTTACCCAGTTAAAATTCTTGCTTACCCTACAAACATGGTCACTCAAACATTATAATACAATACAATGACGTCAACCAAACTTGACTTTTTGCCAGTGAATTTTGACATTTTGAACCAGTAAGGTGAACCTATTGGCACTGCAAATTGAATCATGGTTCAAAATCCTAGTGGAAGCATTGGCCCTCATGGTATCATGAGTACCAGATCAGTTCAGCACGCTGTAAATCTCTGAAAGAATATATCTTGGCTTCTATATCCCAACCACCAGAAAGCAATCAAATGGCACATGCATGTTAAGCTCCTTCCTTGGAGGTTTTTAAGCAGAGGTTGGATGGCCATCTGTCATGGATGCTTTAGCTGAGATTCCTGCATTGCAGGGGGTTGGACTAGATGACCCTTGGGTCCTTGACAAGATTCTATTATTCTATGATTCCTTCTTCTGCTCTTTCCTCTCTTTTCTTAGGCCTTCTCACAGCATGTGGATAATTTATGAAAGTTGCTGCCACAAGATGCGGTAATGGCCACTGGTATAGATGGCTTCAAAAGGGATCGAGATAAATCCATGGAGGAGTCTCAATGGCTACTAGCCACAACGGCTACATGCAACCTCCAATACACGGCTGGATGCAAGATGCTGAAGAGCAAGAGCAGGAGAGGGTCACTGCCTTCATGTCAAATCTGTGGGATTTCTAGAGACAATTGTTTGGTCATTGTGGGAAACATGATCCTGGGCTAGATGTGTCCATTAGTCTGATCCAGCAGGGTTTTCATGTTCTTCTGATGGTCATGTCACTGGAAGCATGGCAGTACTGAAGCTGGTCCCTGTATCCCTCACAAGCTCAGGGAAAAGGGCAAGAGGGAGAAAAGCCAATGGATCTCACTTCCCCAGACAGATTCAAGGTCAGGTCAAAGAGAGGATGACGGCAAAGTATACTACTTGCTATGGAGAAATAGGGATGCACTCACCAGCCTTGGGCTGCTCTAATCTTTCTATGACTACATCATTTCATCCTCCTTCCATAGTGTAGGCAGGTGTACCATATATCCATTCATACACTTGTGAGAGAGCCATTAAAACCTGTATGGTTTTATAGATTGCCTGTACAGACAGCACTTTCAGCCCACATTAAAATTCAGAATGTTAACGTTCAAGAAAAGGCATTTCCAGTTGGACATTTTTCTACTCAAAGAAGATGCTTTAGCTAAGAATGCTTCTAAGAGGAGGCAATTTCCAGCCAGAATTTGTGCACTCTTAGGCATCAAAATGCAAGCCAGTTCTCCAGCACATGCAATGATATTGTTAACATCTGCAGCTCATGTTAGAAACATGCCTATGCTCCAACCCTCTGATGAGTGTTTAATAAGTTTACTCTGCAAATATTTTCACATACTTTCTTCCTTATAACTTTCCTTTAAATTGGTTTTGAAAAAATCTGCAAGGCGTTTTCTTACTTTACTGCCACCAGCAGCCACCAACCATTTGAATCATGGTTTAGACTGTCACCTGATAGTTGATGATTATTTTTATTATTTATTAGATTTGTATAACATCCTTCATCTACAGATCTCAGGGCGGGTCACAACATTAAAATACAAGATAAAAACACAAAATACATAAGAAAAACAAAAACAAAACAATAACAAACCCCTCCCCTGCAAAGATAAGCCTGAACTGAATGAGTTTACAGCCACATAAGACATTTCCAGCACTCTCACTCTTCACTGCTAAACTAATTAACTAGCTAACTATAACTCAAAATATGCTATGGATCAACTAACTGTTTGCAGCTGATAAAATGGGAAGTGTGACACTTTCTATGTAGGCCACAGTGCTGGGCTGGCATCAGCTCTCCAGAGACATCTGTGTACCTCTCACAGCAGCTGGGAGAGCTTCCCGCTGCACTAAGGAATCCAGCAAAACTGGAAACTGGTAAGGATTCCTGGCTAGTCTTTTAATTCCAGTTTCTTTGGAGGTGGGGAGGGGTGCTCAGGCAGAATTAAATGCATATGGCCCTTTTCAATTAACAGACTTTTTCATCCACTGTGAACACAGTATTTGCTGCTTTTAAACAAAAGAAAATGGAGCAAAAGAAAAAGAAAAGTGCCTAACTTGATAATGAACAACTGTAGCCTGGAAATGTCCCTAAACTGATATGAACTCACAATCTCAATGCAGTGCAATACCAGTTATGTTCAGTGTAAACAGCCCGGGGCTGATGGGAGTTGTAGTCTGAAACATCTGGAGGGCACCAGGTTGGAAAAGGCTGATTTAGGGCTTCTGTTAGAAACCAGAGAACTGGGTGGACTTCCATCCTAGCTCAGTGCAAGCTGGTTTAACATCCCAAGGCCTTGTCCATCTCAATCCTTCCCTTTTTGTATGCCCAGCTCCAGAGCGCTTTCCCTCGCTCTGTTCACCATAGTTTCCTATGAAGGGCCCTGCTGGATCAGACCAAAGGCCTATATAATCCAGCATCCTGGATTCTCACAGCTGCCAGCCTGTAGGAAACCTGTCAGTCTGTAAACATGATAACAATAGCCCTCTTCCACTCCTGATCCCTTGCATACCGTCTCTGATTCTGGAAGTAGTAGTACACAACCATCCTGATTAGTAGTCTTCAGAGCTTTATCCTTCAGGTCCTCCCCTGTCAGGTGCTACTTCAGCTTCAGCGTGGCCATTCTGCCAGACCCAAGGTCAGGAAAACAATTGCCTTGCAGGATACAATCCCGAGGTAACTTCTGTCTTGCCAGATACTAGCAACTGGCCTTTAAAACTCCCTTGTTCCCCGGAGCCAGAAAATTGGCAGGTGAAATGCCTGGTGGTGGCAAAAACAACACAGTAGCCAGGTCACCCAAACTGTGGTACCCCAATCAGTGATGACAGCACCCAGTTGTTCAATGCATGGAGCAAGCTTGTTTTCTCCTGATCCGGAGGGTAGGAGCTGAACCAATGGATTCAAGTTACAGGAAAGGAGATTCCGACTAAACGTCAGGAAGAAGTTTCTGATAGTAACAGCTGTTTGACAACAGAAAGGACTCCCTCAGAAGGTGGTGGACTCTCCTTCATTGGAGGTTTTTAAGCAGAGGTCGGATGGCCATCTGTCACGGATGCTTTAGCTGAGATTCCTGCATTGCAGGGGGTTGGAATAGATGACCCTTGGGATCCCTTCCAACTCTACAATTCTGGAAACTTAAAAAAAAAACTTCTTGGTTAATATTAATGCATTGCCATTCACTGTCCCAAAAGACAAAGCAGGTTGGTTCATTGTGGGTTTGAAAACTCAGAAAGAGATAAATTCCATGGCTCACCACGTCAGGGGCATAAAACCAAAGAAAGGACTAGTGACCACCGGTTAAGAAACCAAAATAAAGCACAAAAGGTGACTGTGTCTGAAGCAACATGTGAGAGGTGCCGTCTTAGTCGCGGCATTAATGAAAACAACGAATGAATAGGAGCATTCTGGCAAGATTCAACAAAGTCTACAGCTGACAATAGAAAGGTTAAAGCAGCAAGTACAATAATATGATGAGAAAGTTCACTGCAGTCTGTAAGTAAACATAGCATGGAAGATTAACCTTACTTTTGAAGACTCCTTTCAAGTTTGAAACCCAAGCACAGGTTTCTAAGGTCAAAACAGGAAGCCCTGTGCCAAGCTAGAAGGGTCTGCTAGGATGTACTTAATGACCTGATAAAATTAAGAAACAAGTGAGCCCTGCAGCAAAATGTTGTGACGTCGAGTACTGTTTAAGTTTCCAGCCATGTCCTTTCCCACAATACTCCATTCCATTCTTCCCCTGCCCCCACCCCCGGTTTCCCACACAGTAGCCCACTTCAGGCATTTTAAATGCATGTGAAATAAACACCGGGGGGGGTCATGTTACCTCAGACCTCCCCAACCAACTAACAACAAAAGAGCTTCAATTTTCAAAAGCAAAAAATTGGAAGGGCCAAGAGGGCTTGGCAGAAGAGCTATGTTGGGGATCCTCATTTCCCAGCCATGACCACAAACAAAGGGTATAATAGATAAACCAGTTATGGACATCCAACTCTCATGGACAAGAGGGGTTGTCGCAAAACCAATGATTGTTACCACCAGAAAGAGGCATGGATACAAATAACACACTGGGCCCAGACGATCCTGCTGGCGGTCCAATTCCCATTACTCCTGCATTATTCAGCAGTCATATATGGTCTATATGTCACTCATAAACCTGTCCTATTAAAAGACTGGAAAAGAAACAGATTGCAGAGAAGCTGATTACATCCCCCAGGCCATGTGCCCCTAGCTGGTTTCAGACTGGCTAAACCAACCCCATCATAATTTTGCTCAAGTCAATCCAATATAAGTGTCCTCCATCCCTGACTTTCTAATATAGGCTTTAATCCCTCTAGGCTGGTATTGTGTTATTCCTGTGTTTTATGATGTACCATGCTGCTTGTGCTAATGAAATGTTAAATACTATTGGAACAATAATAGTATACCTACAACTGGTGGTAGTGATGGTGTTGACTGGAGCTCTGTTTATAATTCATAATGAAGCCAATTAAGTTAACCAATGACTTAATCCTTTCAGACTTATTAACAGAACAATCCCATAAATATATAGTCAGAGTGCTGTTGAGTTCAATAGGGCTGACTCCTGGGTAAGTAGGTATAAGTAACAGCCTAAGCATGTCATTTTAGATGGCAAATTCCAATCCTACTTCCTTTCTAAAAGGACATCTACATGACAATTAGGCCTCAGATAATACTACTCTGCCTCAACCTTAATTAAAATACAGATATTATTGAACACCCAAAATCCAATGAACATAGGGTTGCCTTATTTCTAAAAGTAAAAATCCTGCATACTAAAGTTGTTGAGCTTTTTCTCAAGAAAAATTGACGTTGGTTGCCATACATCTGGATTTTCCAGGACATTTTTGCCAATCTCCACCTGGACACTGCTTCTGACTGCAGCAGATTTGGCCTCTAAATGCATATGTACAGGCAACTCCCCATTTATGTGGGGGTTATGATTTGAGGCATTGCACATAAGTGGGACGCACATACAGTGGCAGAGCTTCATGCTCCGGCACTGGGGGTCGGAGAACAGGCGGGGGTGGGCCTGGCGCACATCCCGGGGGTGTGGTGCACCACCCATAGGGGCAGGGTGTGCATTCCAGGGGTGTGGCACACCGCCCGCAGGGATGTGGCATGTGTCCTGGGGGCGTGGCGCACTGGCTGCAGGGGCAGCCACAATGGCACCCCACCGGGATCGTGCTGCTGGGGGCAGTGCGCTCCCCCCACGCCTCTTCCTCCGCCTGTGTGCACATAGGCCAGCCCTGAGATGCTGAAAACGGTGCGCACACCAGCAGTTGTGTGCATGCTGATCACATACAAGTAGGGAGTTGCCTATTGGTGCATGTGTATATGCATACAGTGCGTGCAACACACATACACTGGATGGCAAGAGTTAAAAATATGTGTTGGGAACCCAACTGCATATAAATATTGATAATTAGAAACTGACTCACTGATCATGAGAAAGAAATAATCATACATTTTCATCAGGCCAGTTTTGCAGTCACCATCCAAAAAGGAACTGTAATTTAAATCAACCAGAAAAACAACATGGTATACATAGCCAGCAAAAATGTTAAGAAATATTTGCAACATTGCTGACAAACCAAATTTTTCTCTCACAACTTTTCTTGCATTCATAGAGGGCAACCCATAGGCTCCAATTTGAGGGAGGAGCTGGGCAAAGCAATGGAAGATTCAGAATTGGATTTTGTGTGTTTTTTAATGCAAATTTTGTGGGCCTGGTTTATATTGTCACTACATGAGGGAGTTAATTCCTTGTCCCCACCAGATGCCACTTTCCCAAAGCTACTATTTTCCCACTGAGTAAAATACACACACTTTCAACTCATTTTAAAATATATATTCTAATACAATTTTTTTTAACATGGACTGCTAATCTTGAATACAACCTCATTTATTTTAATTACTGCTATATCCTTTCAGCACCTTTGAGAATAAAGAAGAAAATGTGTGAATATGTAAACAGAGTGTATAATTTGAAAGGCATTCTTACAAACGTTCCTGTGAAACAGATCAGTAATATGTGCCCACTATGAAGGGCTTATCTAATTTGTGAGTGTAACATTTGATGGAAACAGACAAATAACTATATTATATGGGCTAGTTATACCAGAGGAGCAAGAAAATTATTATTTATTTATTTATACCCTACCTTTCCCCAAAACCAGGACTCAATGTAGCTTCCAAAAAATTAAAACAAGCACAGATAAAACACAGAAAGCTAAAGAAAATTAGCAATTTTGTGCAATTTTGATAAGGCAGCAAATGTAAGTAGATCTAATACAATTATCTACTATAGTAGTCATTGATACATGGTTTGTCAGTACAACCCCACTGCGCAAGAGGAGAGAAACCATTTGCTTCAAGTTGCTATTAAGCTAGATACTATATGCTAGATACCATTGCCCTACACACCAGGGCAATGTAGATTATCAATAGGTAAAGGTAAAGGGACCCCTGACCATTAGGTCCAGTCGTGACCGACTCTGGGGTTGCGGCGCTCATCTCGCTTTATTGGCTGAGGGAGCCGGCATACAGCTTCCAGGTCATGTGGCCAGCATGACTAAGCCACTTCTGGTGAACCAGAGCAGCGCACGGAAATGCCGTTTACCTTCCCGCCGGAGCAGTACCTATTTATCTACTTGCACTTTTTTGGGTGCTTTCGAACTGCTAGGTTGGCAGGAGCAGGGATCAAGCAACGGGAGCTCACCCCGTCGCGGGGATTCAAACCGCCGACCTTCTGATCGGCAAGTCCTAGGCTCTGTGGTTTAACCCACAGCACCACCTGTGTCCCATATTATCAATAGTGGAAAACAAAATTGTGGCATCTCTCACCGCACAAGGACATGGAAAGTGGCCTTATATCAGGTCAAACAATTTGTTCACCCAGCCCAGTATTGCCCCCTCTGACTGGAAGCAATTCTCACATTATCTACTGCCATGTCCTTTTTGGTAACTGGAGATGCCAAGGACAGAACTTGGGAACTTTTTGAATGCAGGTCAAGTGCTCCGCCATTGAGTGACAGCCCCTCCCTGAATCTCTTGCTTATGGAGTAGGATATCTTCTTTGGCGATCACTCGTAGCTGAGTCTTCTATAAACACGGTTTTAACAATGAGTCCATAACTGACTGTGAGGCCAATTCTGGATCCACACGTCCTTCCACAGTGGGGACATTGGTTTCCAGGCGGGAGTTGATCACGGTGTGGAATTGTCAGGCATGCCTTCCTCTTAGCACGTTTCTCCCTTGCATCCTGAGTTTGAGTGTCTTCAAAGCCCATAACACCTTTGGTAAAGGCTGTTCTCCAACTGGAGCGCTCGCAGGCCAGTGTTTCCCAGTTGTCAGTGTTTGTACTACATTTTTTTAGATTTGCCTTGAGACAGTCTTTAAACCTCTTCTGCTGACCACCAGCATTACGCTTTCCATTTTTAAGTTCGGAATAGGGTAGTTGATTTGGAAGACGATCATCAGGCATCTGCCCAACATAACCAGTCCAACGACGTTGATGTTGAACAATCATTGCTTCAACACTGGTGATCTTAGGATATAAGACACCCAGGGCAGGAACAAAGCTTCAGAGAGTGAAAAAGATTCCTAAAATAAAATTTGACATTACGGAAAGGTGGCCCCCGTATATAACATATGGGAAACTGCATGCCCCAGTCTACAACAGGATGCCATTTCAGTTTCCAGTCGAGGAGACAAATTTCACCCAAAGGTTCAAAGGCCTTGTGTTGTATATATTCACTATCAGATGCTTTGCTGAGGCCCCATAAGGGTTTCTGTATTCATGTGTGAGATTTTTTTGTGGGTTCCCACCCACCAAATATATAAGACCCCGCCCCCCCGTACTTCTGGAGAAACTCTTCAGACTACAGTTAAGATGGGCTTAGCCAAGATGAAGCTTTCAGAAGGTCGTATTCCTTTATTCTAGAGTCATATTCCTTTATTCTAGAGTGATTAACCTGTAATAATTATAATTTATTACTATTTATTACCGCCCTTCATCCAAAAATCACAAGGTGGTTCACAGCATAAAGATACAAAATGAGAACACAAAATACATAATGAAACAAAAACAAACCAATACCCCCCGCCACATTATTACCCTTCACTGTTGTTATAGTAACATGCTGATTTGGATTGCCAGTGCATACATAAGCTTAGACAGAAGCAGGAAATCCACCACAGATTCCTCAGGAGGTCTAACAGCAGCTCAGGTGGGACTTCGGATTTAGACAGGGTAAATAGCACAGAGGGGAGGCTTTAAACCCCTACCCCACCCCCACCAATACTGATGCTTTGATCTAAATTGGAGCTCTCTCCCATGCTCACTGCTAGAGAGAATTCTCATCACAGATTTCCTGAATACACTGTGGCCCCTCAGAGGTAATATTTGCCTCAACACCACATACATTAGCCTGTGGTGTTAAGGTTCTGGCCTGATTTTTGACCTGATTTAAGGTTTTTGGGACACTTTACTGAATATATTCACCTATTCACAACTTTAAGATCACATGGAACCCCACTGTTAAGTAAATGAACATAGTAGTCCTACAATAGATTTTTTTTAAAAATGGAAATCAACTCTAAGACGTTCCATTACCATAGATAGGTCATCTAAGAATAGATTCGCAACAACCATTTGTTGCATGGTGAGGTGAAATTTTGCACTCAGATCACAAGTTCCATCCATGTTCACCTCGCAGCTGGCATGTTTTGAAGCAGTCCTGGGGCTGCTTCACCCATGCATGATTATCTCCTGAAGACCACTGTGTCCCTTCAGATGTGGTTGGATTCCATCTCCCATCAGCCACACAGCCAATGGTCAGGGATGATGGGAGTAGGGATCCAACGACACCTGGAGGGCCAGGGGTCCCTCGCTGTTGCATCAAGTCCATGAAACAGACATCACAAATCAAAGACCAGAGGTAACGTTTCCATCTTATGCCAGACACTGCATTTTAATAGAGACCCTTTGCTAGTCACCAAGCGTTGCGAAATCAAGTGATGTGCATCACGCCTTCGCGAATCAACGGGCGCTTTTTGAACCGTGCCGGCAAGGAACGGGGTGGAACGGCTGCTTACATTTACAGGGGACGAAACGCTCGTGTGAATGTGTATGTGACACGTGTTGCTGATCATATCCGGACTGGCATATTAAAATCGCGGTAGCAGTTCACAACAAGGGGCAGCCGGCTGCAGGCAAGCCAGGGGCATCCCGGGACACAGCTAAGGCTCTTTTCGACTTACCCCCAGCCTACCTCCTCCTGCTCACCTACGAACCCTTCCCTTCACCCCAGGGTCCAGAAGAGACCACCGAGAGGCCCTCAGACCTTCGGGCAAGGAAAGCCGCTTTACAAACCTACAACCACCAACCCCCCGTCTCTCTCTCTCTCTCTCTCTCTCTCTGGCCCGCACCCAGCAACCTCAAACGCCGTCCAGCCGCCGCTCCGCTCTTACCACATTGCTGAGAAAATCCGCTTCGTTTAAATCGCCCAGATCCAAGAAGCTGGAGGCTCCTCCGGGGAAGAGGCGCTCCGAAGGGAAGGGCTCTAGGATACTGTCCATGGTAGCGGAGGCGAGCCGAGCCGGGGGAGCCGTCGGGTGTGGGGAGCAGGCAAGCCGCTTCCTTCCCCTCCAGCGCTGCGGGACCTTCCTTTAAGGATCGCCCGGCGGTTCACTCCAGAGCAGCAACCCTGAGCGACAGATCCCAAGGTGCTGGGCAGAGAAGGGCCATGCCTACGTCTTCCCTCGAGGGGAGCCTGTAATCCATGGGGAGGGAAAGAGGGAAGCAGGGGACGGGGGAGCTCCTTTTCCCGGGGGGGGGGCGAGCGAGTGGGGAGGGGAAAGACAATGGGGCTCAGAGGGGTGGGGCTGCTGGGGGCCACTCTGGGAGGGGGGGAGGGAGAGGAGGAGGAGGAAGATGTGCAGGATCCGGGCTGAGAGAGGGAGCGGGGTGCGCCCGGAGGGAGGGAAGGATCGTGCAAGGGCTGAGGCAGCCTCCTGTGGGGACGAAAGGAGGGGCGCCTTCGCCTCCTCCGGGATCCCTGCCCAGCTGTCACAGTCACACTCCGCGCACCATCCCCAGGCTCAGCCGCCTCTGCCCGGCCTCCCAGGACACGCCCCCTTCCTCCCTCATGAATATTGAACGCCCGGCCCAGGCAAGACAGGAGCCTCCGGCCCCGACGCAACCCGAAGCCACGCCCACTGCCGCCCCTGCCCAATGGGAGCTCGAGGGAGGAGTTCGGGGCCGGTCGCTCAGAGCGAGTCGCTCGGCAGCGCTCCGCTTCGAGACGCGCGTTACCGTAAGTAGGGTAAGGGACGAGCAGCCGTTTCTGGGTCGCTGGCGCGCCTGGCTGGGCAGCAACAGGCGGGAGAGATCGTCATGGCAGCGTCGACGGTGCGGGCTGACCCTTGGCTAGGGGCTGCTCTCCCTCCGGGGAAGATGCCAGCTTCCAGCGCGCTTCGTAACCGAGTTGACTTTTCCTCTCATCTAGAGCTCCCTTGCTTAGACTGAGTCAGACCGTTTGTCTGCATTGTCTGCTCTGGGGTTGAGCTGGGGACCTCCCCTATGCCTGCCCTGTGCTCTTTGCAAAGTGGCCCAAGGAGGACTCTGGGTGTGCAGGAGCTAAAGGCCGGGCCCGCGCGAAGAATTTACACTGTACTCAGTACAATGTTATATATGCCTACCCAGAAGTAAGCCTTCGTGTTTAACGGGGCTTACTCCCAGGAAAGTGGGTACAGAATGGCAGCCTAAGCTTTGGTTTATAGTTGGCATTGGGACAGGGGAACACGTCTTGTGTGCCTTAAGCAGTTGCATGGCAAGCAGGAATTCAACAGGTTAAGCCTTTCCTACTATGGAAATATAGTTATGGCAAAAGCTTCACCGTGACTTTCTCCCATGCCCTCCATGGAAGCCCTCACCTCCATGGCAGCCATTTTGTGATTTGTGCCCACAGCACTCTCAGAATTCAAAATGGTCCCAAAAAAGCAACCCTTGGCACAAGGGATGGATCCCATCAAATATCCCGTGGAAACACAATCAGCTATGAAGCAGCCCAGTCATAGCTGCAGTGTTGATTGCACAGCAATTTTGCTGATTTTTGAGATTTTCCTGAGTTTTGCAAACAGCTGTTTGAGGCACACTCTTCCCATTGTTGTCATCCAGAGGCAGACAGTTCCTTCTTTGGGGAACCAAGAAGCCCAGCAATGGATGTAGAAGATTGGCCCATTGAGACACATGGTTTTTTTTATAGGGCAGTCTCTGGGACAGTTTCATGCTTGAAATAGCCAATGTTGCTATTGAGCGATAAGTCTGATTGTATGAAACAGATCACAGATGTTTATCTCTGGTTCCTCCATAGCCAGAACTGGTACACCCATGAGGCAAGGCGAGGCAGCCGACTCAGGCGGTGGAAGTTCAAGAGACAGAGCCCTGCCTGCCTCATTGCTTCTGCCGCTGGTGGAATGCCTCCCTTTTGTTGCATTCAGAGAGAGGGTGCATGGTGTTACCGCCCTTCTTCCATACCCTGTGGAATGCCCCTCTCTTGCTGGGTTTTGACCAGTGGGGGACATTCCACCAGTGGCAGAAGTGTGGGGGGGGGCATATTCTCATTTTACCTCAGGTGGCAAAACAGGATGAGCTGCCCATGGTCAGTGTAATGCATGCCCCAGCTCTCTCCTAAGAAATCAATCTTCCAGAATATTTAGTATATTGGTGACACAGAAAGGAGAAAGTCTTCAATTGAATTACACCATTTCCTGAGGCGTAATATCTCCCATCAATTTCCTCATATCTCAAAGAAAATTCTATTAACTGCTGAATTCACAAAATATTCTTGACTATCATTATTTAAAAAGATGACTCTCAGAAGTCAGATAACTTAATTAAAGAGAGCCAATTTTCAATAAAGAGCCAGCTTATGATACTGCTGTGCGGAAATGGCCTTTTGAAATTATCTACCCTGTTTGCGGTCAGAGAAACTGGGAGGACCATTTCACTGCATTTCTCCAGGGTAAGGAGGAGGAATGGTCCCAGGGTTGTTTTCAGTGTTAAGGTTCACCATTAGCAGAAATGCAGCTTCTTTCTCTTTTCTTTAGTGGGGAGACCTGCCTCTTCAAGTGGCAACAGCAGCAAATGCACTGGCAGCCTGAGCACTATTTTTGTGTCTTCCATAATGCCCGAGACCTAGCATCATTCTGGGAGATTGGGGTTGTGGGGTTGGAATGGCAGCTGCCACAAAAGAAATGTTGGAAAAATTCTACAAGGTGGCCTTTTTCTGCAGAGGGGGTTAAGAAAGAAAAATCTCAGCTGTTTTCTCAGAAAAATGTTTTCTGAGAAATTCAGGTATGGTCATGAAAACACATGTGATTTCTTTGGCAAGCCTGGTCTTCTGACCTAGTCTTCTCCCTGATGTTAGTAGTCATCCGGGTATGCTTAGTGAGAAGAGATAGAGAAGATATTGATTTAGGAAACCCACATTTTGTAAGTTGAAAGCAAGCAAGGAAATTTGTCTGTTGATTCCCTTCATGCTGCCAGTTACTCTGTCAATGCAGGTGGGCCTGTTTCCTGTAGTCCATCTAATCACTCTGTAATTAAAGATTCAAGTGCCATTTTAGACTTTCAGGAAGATTACAGGGCTTCATATAAATGGGATTATAGATCCTTGGCCAATCTCATCCTCTTTCAGATAGACATCTAGAAAACCTCTTAGAATAATCTTTTGGGAAAAGCTCAGCTATCTGTAACACAGTAAAGTAGCCTTGCCTGCTGTAAGGGCTTTCATTTCATTGCAAAGGAGTCAAACAGTGTACAGCATGGACTGCAGTCTTGTAGTTAGCCCATGTGTGACGAAGGCAGAGGCACTGGGCAAGTCTGTACGTCAGTAGCAGAGCACATACTTTGAAAGCAGAAGGTTCCAGCTTTGAGCCGCAACATCTTCAAGGAGGGCTAAGGGGAAAAAAACCTGTCTGAAATCCTATAAAGATCTTGCCAGTCAGTAGACCACAGGAGGGGAACAATTTCTAGGCTGGGGGCCTCATGCCAGGGTGTTATCCTCAGTCATTCCACACACAAGAAGACTGCATGCTTATTATTGTCTTCCAAATGCCAGTTAGAAAAAAAATCCCTTAGTTGGAGCCGGATTCAACTGCTTTCTATTTCCTGCTTCCTTGTTCATTCTGTACATTTGCCAGTTATAAAAAACACCTGTTACCATACCCAGGAAGTCCCAAGAGAACCAAAAGAGCAGTGAAATGAGGCATCGCACGAAAGCTTATGCCATAATAAATTAGTTAGTCTTTAAGGTGACACATGCCTGCTATCACTGGTAGAGGAACTCTTAAAAGCTAGGGAGATCACTTAGTTATTTTTTCATTGCAAAATATAAATACAGTGTTACCTCTGGTTAGGAACTTAATTCGTTCTGGAGGTCTGTTCTTAACCTGAAACTGTTCTTAACCTGAGGTACCACTTTAGCTAATGGAGCCTCCCGCTGCTGCCGCGCTGCCAGAGCACAATTACTGTTCTCATCCTGAAGCAAAGTTCTTAACCCAAGGTACTATTTATGGGTTAGCGGAGTTTGTAACCTGAAGCATCTGTAACCTAAAGCATCTGTAACCCGAGGTACCCCTGTTTCAGTTTGCATTTTTAATCTGAACTAATGATTGGATTGTGGTTCAAGTGCAGAGAGCATTCTGTGTGGACTGTGTGTTTGCAGCAGAGGCGTGCATGTGCAAGGGAGAACATGTAAATCCTTTTTTGTTTCTCCGCTGCTCAGGCCTCTAAGCTAGCTTGCGGGGAACAAGAGAGCGAGGAAAGAAAAATATAAATTACAGCTCTGTCTGTAGATGCGTCCCATCAATGCTGTGGCTTAATGAGCAACCTCAGGCTATGCCGGAAACAAAAGGGAAATCACAAGCCGGGAGTCTATGTAAAGTTTCTATCTGTTTTGGTCTTTGATATCACTCCAGATCAGAGTAGCAGAGACCAGCAGACGAATCCTTTCCACCAGCTAGATGGGCATCTCCTCCCTACTATATTCTGTATATGTGCTCAGCCCATGATGGGAGGAGGAAAGTACAAAAATTATGGATTGAAGATGACAGATACACCCCCAGCATGTCTTGAAACCCTACCAGTAGGCACCAATCACCTACTCTACTGGCAACAATGCCTACAATGTTAGCTCACACATGGAAAGTGTCAATGAACTTGGGTCAACATGGATACATCCCTGCATCAACACACATGCAAAATGACACCTCAGCATCTTCAGTCACTCAAGCATCCCTGCAGGCAGGGGATTTAATTCCCTCACAAGTACAGTTTTAGATTTCAACACACAAAGGGGAAGAAGGAATGGTTCTCTGGACCGGATGCCTGCAGAGGTAAACACAGCTGTCCTGGGACAAGGGATCAAGACAAGGGTTTCTCACCCAGCGAGGGGAACACTCATATGAATAGCAGCTAAAGGGGAGGGGTCAGGATCAATGATATTGACAGCAGCATCCAGTGGCTCTCTCCACAAGGATGTGAAACAGGCAATGGGAGTTTGAGCCTTACTATGGATGAATGCCCTCACTTACCTTTGCATGCCTGGGGGAAAATGAATAATGCCATTGGCAAGGAGAGGGTTTTTGTCCACAGTGCAAACTCAACAGCACAGCTCCCTAACTAACCACTCAGCCACAGTGGCAGACAAGATGGGGCATATTTCTTTCTTTCCGTCCTAAACCACAATACCCCTTTGTTACCAGGAGACCCAGCCTTGCATCTTCCATTTTGGGTATCTCCCCCTCACCTTGACTCCAAAGTCTCCATCGCACCAGGATGGTAGAACAAGCTGAGATTTCGGCACCCGTGACAAGCCGTTCATCAGACAGACTCAACGAGAAGACCGCACCCTAAAGGAAAGATATCTGAATTATCATTTTCTTGTTTTAAATGTAAAACTCAGCATGACTTGCTTCATATTTTCTGTTGGCTACCCCTTCAAATTGTGAGCTTTTCCTTTCGCAGCTGTGTTCACAAGACATCTACTCCCCCACCATCCCATAAAAAATTTACAGTCTTCAGAAACTAATCCTATACATGTCCAAAGTCCCAAGTGAATTCGATGGAACTCACTCTCTGCTAAGTGTGTATCGGAGTGCAGTCTATATGTATTTGTATTTAGTGTGTGCCTTTTTTAAAAGAACTAAAAAAAAAATCATAAAGTAATTTTTAACTTTTCTGTGGTCCTTAGGAAGAAAATATACTTTTGAGCCCAGGATTTTCCGTGCTTGCTTTGGGCCAGGGAACTGAACTGTAACAAAAATGGAGAAAAGACCCAGAAAGCTTGTGTAAATTGGAACCAAACCAGAGGCATAATTTCTTGCACATATTGGGTCCAAGTTGGAACTCAGCAACAGAAGGTATTTTCAGGTTTCCAGTTAAATTAATGGTCTGGCTTTTTGAAAAATGTTAATATAGTTTGATTTTTTTTAAATTGCTATGATGTTTTAATTCCAAAAGGATGCTACAAAGAAACATACCAGCATGTTACTAACTACAATCAAAAGCTCCGCCTGCCCCGACCTCTGAAAACAACACTCTAGGATGAGGAAGGTAGCCAGGCTATGCACAAGATAGTCTTTCCAGCTGCATGCCAGATGTTGGAACTAATATCCCCCCCCCAAATCACCAAAAGTTGTGTATCTTTTTAAATAGAATTTTTGGTGCTTCTTAATGTAGCCTGTTGTTAGATTCTAGCATGAGCTGTATGATTCAGCAAAGTTGCCTTGCTCATCCAAGGACTTTTGCTTGTGCAGCAGAACTTGCCCTCCCTCTCCTTCCCCCAAATCTGTTCTAGGGGTCCCCTAACCCTCCAAAGCAGATGGGGGGCAGCACAAGGCATGCAGGGAGAGGAGAGGAATGGAGACGCTCCATTGCGCTACTGGAAGTCCTTGTGCGTATGGGATCACTTTGTTGGATACAAGCCATTCTTTCTATTATCTCCGTTGCCCTTATTCAGCATCTGATTCCCTCTTCCAAATATTACACAGTTCTATCATGTCTCTTTTTTAAAAGACCATATAGTGATGGAGAATTAGTATCTCCACACTCCCAGAGGGAACAGGTAGGATTTTCAACCTGGCCTTTGCACGGAAGGAAGTGCTGATGAAGATAGGAATGGCAGTCCTTTCATATGTCACCAATGAAAGGGTGATGAGATTATTTGGGGAAACTCGTGTACTTTAAATGTGTGGTGTTTATCCAACCTACAATTCTCTTCATCCTCCTAAACATTGTTTATGACAGCTGGCACTGATGGGGAGTCTGACAACAACTGGAGGGTCACAGACTGCCCATTCCTGCCACAAAACCCCCAAAGCACCATTTTAAGCCAATAAATCTATAGTGATCTTCCCCAAGGAATCCTGGTGTTGAAATGATGCGATGGAGGACTCCAGTCCTTGACAAAGAACTTTTCTATGGAGGGAAATGATGGCATCTACACAGGCTAAACTTTGCACATGAACAGAGTTGTGTGCTGTTCTAAGCAGATTGTATTCTTTCATAGCTGTCCTTAGATGGCCTGATAAAAATATCTCTATCAGCTCTTCAGGGAGTAAATTTGTAAAAAGAGGTTGAACGCCTCCACAGCATAAATAAAAAGCAGCAACCCAGTCATGTTTCATCATCCTCCCAGTTCAAATAACATTGTTTTAGTCCCTGGCAGCCTCACCCCATGGTAGGTAATTACAGACTTGAACTTGGGGAAAACAGAGACGAAGTGGAGGAAACCCTCATTAGAAAATCATCTTTCAAACAGAAACCCCCAAATGTAATGTCTGCGGCAGCATGCCAGAGCCGCCACAACTCATCAGAACAAAGCTTGTGCTTACTCTGTGATAAGGGGGTGAAGTGTTAAAGAGAGATTTCATAGGATCACTTTGTTAAAGTTGTTCTGGGGAGGGGAGGGCTTTGGGAGAATTACAGTGCTTTCAATAATAAATAATGCTCTCTCTTTTTCATTTTCATCCTCACTTACTCTTCCTATATGGGCAGAGCACTCCTATATAGATATTATGCACCACCACCTCAGAACTAAAAGGGAGGGGTGCACCCAGACCCTCTTTCTATGCTAGGGGTGAAAAAACTGTGGTCCTCCAAATACTGTACTCCAGCTCCCACTATCCATGTCTGTTGGCCATGCTGACTGGAGCTGATGGGAATTGAGGCCTACACCATCCCGAGAGCCACTGGTTCCCCACCCACCCCTGTTCTATGCAACTGTGCTTCCAACCTGTGGATCTGCCACTATCATGTTTAGTTTAGCTCTGCGAAAGCTTCAGGCTATGATTCTCAGGATTTTGATTTCTGCTGCCACATCTGAAGCAGTCGAAGAAACCTCCAAATTGCTCTTCACAAAGAGCGTTGTTCACTCCAATTACATTGGGCCTAATGAACTCTCCATCTCTGATGTTTTTTCTTTCTTTCTTTTTTATTCACCTCTGATGTTCTTCACTAGCTTTAGCTTATGGGTTTTTTCTTCTGTTTTTTCATCGTTCCTCTCCCCCACCCCCACCGCCAATCCACACACACTGGTGTCTTCCTCCTCACATTTGGGGGAGCCCAAATGGCACTGGCTCAATTTCTGCCTTTAGAACTTCTGCTTAGGGATAACAGGGGTAGGATGGTTTAATCAGATTTTCATTTCTGTGTAGTGCACTGGCTGAATTTTAATCTTCTTTTCTCACTTCACAGAAGGGAGCCGAGAAAAAGGTTTTTTTTAACCTCCTGGCCTTGGCATTCAGATATGTTGACATTTCCATTTGGTCTTTCCTCTGATGCAGAGTTTTGACGTCAGGTGGGCTGGTTAATAGCTTGAAGTGTATATGACTCACTCAGCAGTGGGGTGTGCAATGGGATTTGTAGCATGGCCTTTCCTCTTTTGTATTGCTTGTTAGGGCTGTGTGTGCGGTTTTTTTTAAAAAAATAAATAAATAGCATGAAACCTGATTCACAACTTGAGAGGAGGTGCAGCTCAGTTCAGGCTCTAATAGGCATCTCCATGGCAACTGGTTTTACAGGCATACTTGAAATGTCACTATTACAGCAAGCCCTCATCATTGTCCCTTTCGGTCGGCTTTGGCAAGCATCTGCTCCCTCTAGAAATCCATTTAGCCAATCAGGTCGCAGGACTCGCTTTGCTCAACCAAAACCCATTGCTACGCACTGGAGTTCAAGCTATGTTTTCTAAATCAAAGCAAACTGAGGTAGTTTCATATTGGATCGGACTTTTGTTTGTTTGTTTGTAAGGAGCAGTTATAAAGTGCCGCTGTGAGGTTGGTGCTAGGTGCCTTACATAAAACCGTAGCAAATGCTGTTTTGAGGTAGCAAGTTGATCATGTTGAATTAGCTTGCTGCGTTGTTGCTAGGCGCAAGTGGAAGTTTTTGCATGGTTCCCATGTAAGAATGCATGCTAAGCATTGTGGTTACGTCAGGACTGGATTACTGCAATGCACACTATGTGAGACTTCCCCAACGCTTGTTCCAGAAGCTGCAATTAGTGAAGAATTCTGCAGCATGGTTGCTGGCAGGAGTGAGGCATTGTCAGCATATAACACCTGTGCTTGGAAATCTACACTGGTTTCCAGTTTTCTACCAGGTGTAGCAAGGTATTACTATTAGTAAATAAAGCCCTTAATAATTTAGGACTATTTATCTGTGAGATTGCATTGCCCCATATTGACTGCCTAGCTCTGTGGAACCGGCACTGTTACACCTGTTCTGCAATAATATCTGTTCTGCACTTGTAAGAAATCAATCTCCCCTCCCTTTTAAAAATATTTTACTTTTCAGGTTTTAAAAAAATTACAATCACACAAATTAATTTCATTTTCCAATAAAAAATGCATAATTTGACTTCCTTTCCCCTCCTTCTGTGGTTTCTTATGTTTTAATTTTCATTACTGCATCTGCCACTTAATTCCATTTATTAATTGTTCCCTATGTTTTCCTTAATAAATATATTCAGCTGCTTGTTTTGCATTAATCCTGCTAATGAACTTAGTTGTTTACAATATTTTTAATCCACAAATCTTTCCCATCCTTCGTTAAAAAGAAATCAGTCTTTTAGCATGGCAGCACCTACAGTTTGGAACGCCTTGCCTTTTGACATCTGGCTTAAAAGAACGAAGCAAGGTTAAGCATATGATAGCTCAAACCTTGAACAATTGCTGACAGCAGATCATGTAAAATATCCTATATTATTTTGAAGGGGAGGGACACTGTAAGGAAGCTTCATACTTGCAGATGTGGCCCTAAAGCCAGCACTTCTGAAGGACATGTGCCTATGGTGGGTGTGGCCAAAGTGAAACATTGGCATAGCCAAAGTCAATGTGTGTGTGTGTCAATCACACACATGGTCAGAGACACTGTGCAGATCAGCAGAGGATCAGAGAGAACATTTTCCGCGTGCTGGGATGGACAGAGTGGATTTCCTGTAGGTTTACTACAGGAAAGAAAGAAAAGGTTTACCCTGTTCTCAATTTCTCCCAAGTGAATAATAGTAGTTATTGATACCAGGTCTTCACAAAGCAAAGATATCGTAAGGAATAAAACATTATGACCGTTTTTTTATTTTTTTGAGGTCAGAAACATGACAGTACCCTGGAGGCCCTTTTCAAAGATTCATGGCAGCAGAGAAGAGCTGCTGGGAGAGAGCGTGTTAGCAATCTCTGCAGCTTATGACTTGCCTACTTTAAACAAACTTTAACAGCCAGGAGATGTTCCAGCTGAAGCGCTTGGTTGGAAATTCCATCCATCAGAGCAATTTTTCTCCTCCAGGCATGCACGTGGCAGCTTTGAACCTTGTCACGATGTTCCCCTCTGTTTTTCCCTCCCCAAGTGTGTTAAGTGATCAATGCATGTGGATTTGTGGACCCTATGCCTGGTTTGCACAGATCAGTGGTCCTGATATGAGAGCTATGTAGCTTAGCTTTTTAGAAAGACCACCTCATAATTTTAGAACCTCGGTTAAAGAGTGTGTTGATCAGGACTGAGGACTGGCAGAAAGATAACTGTACATGTTTATATTCTACTCCTAAGCTTAGTCCAGTGCAGAGATAGGAATGTCTTAGCTATCTCAGAATGCAATGCCCCAGAAAGGCAAGGAATGCTAAATTGGATATATATCAGTGCAGCAAGTTCATGATTACACAGAAAATATTTATTATTAACATATGTTTATATTTTTATTATATTTTAAATTTTTAACTATTTATTAAAGCAATTTATATACTGCTTAACTACAATAGTCTCTAAACATTTTACAGAGATACAGTAGAAAAAAAGAGAGGCAAAACTATAAAACCAGTTGCTGGAAACCACAGGAAGAGAGACTGCTCTTGCACTTAAATTCTGCTTCCCACAGGCAACAGGTTGGCCACTGTGAGAACAGGATGCAGTTGGCCTGATCCAGCAGGCTCTTCTTATGTTCTTAAAATCAAATGCCAATTAAAATGCCTGCTGGAACAAAATACAGTACTATACTGAATAATTATAGCACCAGTAGTCTACCACCGCCTGTGAAGTACTGCATGGAATCAAT